ATCACAACAGGGTAGATTTCATGTAATGAAATAATCAAGATATTAAGCTGTTCGCTCTAGAGGCTTTTGAGAACTCATCAAAAATAACTCTACAACATAGACACAATATATGAAGGATGTGCCTTGCATAATTATCCATGATATTCTATAATCAAGCTGGCTTTGTGCATGTAAATGTGTTATCAGAGAGTTATTTACAGAAGTAAATAAAAATCTATCTCAATTGTTACAAACACTTGTTTTTGGTTTTACTGAGAATTCACCGTCCATGATGTATGCTCTATATCACACACCATCTAATAAATCTAACAAAAGGGGACAATTAAAAAAGATACCCTGCAAAGGTCATATTAAAGTGACTTCTGCTGAGGGATTATCTCACTGGGCATCATTCTACAAAAGATACAGGCATCTTTTAGTCCACCGAGAAATTATTTGGATATGATATGGTGCCATTAAAGCTGTGGTGCTGATTTATATGACATCCCAACCCATCAATCTGCGTGCCAAGCTCTGTCAAAACTAATATATTGAAAGAAGCTTTCCGCCTATACGTAAGAAGTTTTTTTTCCCCCTTCACCAGTATGCCAGCACAGCAGTAACCAGTCTACATCTTGCTCGGCTACACATGCATTTCATATTACTCCTACAAGTAGCTTATACAATAGTGACCTGGAACCAGAATTACCATATGCACAAATTACTCACACTCCACTAAAGAGTCCAGCTGACAAAGCTAATGTGATTCGTTCATGCATAAAGGAAGCCAGACAGAAGCTTCATCCTTATACCCAACGCCACAAAACCAATTAAGTCACTTTATTTGAAAGGCGACACAAAAAGGGAAAACTGATCAAAAAAGGATTACAGTTTAGTTGAATAACTATATTTAGCATTCACTCTCACTTCTTTGTCTTGATAATTATGTTTTTGTTGACTTTTGTTTAATGATGTTGACATTTGTTGGGTGGAAACGTGGCCGAAGTCTGTCCAAAGCAGGTTATCATTACGTGGTAAATCTGGCTGCCTGACCTGAGCTCTGGTGCAATGAAATGTCAGACATGCCTTAGTGAGGTGTAATGACCAGAAAGTTGTAAAATCAAGAGTGTAAGTGACTTAAATTTCTGACAGCATTGTGGACTTTAAGGATGAGGATTTTTAGATCTGGGGGAGAAAAAAAACACCTTCTAAGCTGCAGATGAAATGGAAAACTTAAACATTCCACCATTTGTTGAGAAAATATCTTAACAAGTGTGAAGTAGTTACCGACCATAATGTACACAGATCAGCCTTGGTAATACAATCATAGACAGGAGAAAGTATACACAAATCATAATTTTATTATAGCATCTATTACTCCGGTGGATATTCATAGCAGGTAAAGGTTGTATTCTGAAAGTTGCAACCTCCTCAGAAGAATAAACATAACTAGGGCTGCAACTATTGATTATTTTGCAAATCCATTAATCTATCGATAATTTTTTTCAATTAATCAATTAATAATCGGATAGCCAAAAGTTACTTTTTACGAAATTAAACCAGGTGAAACTCAAACTTTTCCACTTGAGTTCTGAATAAAGCTTACTGACAGACAAAAAACATTTTTATAATCTAAAATGCAAATGTTTATGTATTTTATACATTCTTGGTATAATTACTGCTCTAAGTGGGTTGCTCTGTCATTTAAAGGCATGATTTACAGTCTCTATACTCCAGTTAACGATTAATCGATTATTAAATAAGTTGATAATTATTTCAATTATCGCTTAATTGCTTCAGCCCTACACAAAACCCAAAATGTTTTTGGGTAACAGATGGTGGCTTTGTGAAGTAAAACATATGAGATTTATGTTCTTCCAACTGCTAAAGATGTTAAATCCTTTCCACAGTCATGAAAACGGGTCAGGGGTAAAAGGGTGAGAAATCGTAAATCCCTCTAGGGAGGGTCCAAGGGGGAGGTTTTACCACCCATTGCATTTAAAAGCACCAATCCAGTGTACCCCAATCGAGTAATAATCTTGTTACTGGACAGCATAATGTTAAGTATTTACATATTATATATTTTTCCATGTAATTTTTTTCTCGCTCTCCTCAAAGACACAGAGATTCCTTGTCTTAAGATTATTTCTCATAGTTCCACAATTTCCCTGTTTTTATTTAATGTCATAGTTTTTAACAATAAATACCCTGTCACTAATTATTCACAGCCTTTCCAGTAGTAGAGGGAAAATCTCGTATTGGCATCATGATGATGAAACTGATCTGTTAACTTTTCAGCTTAACCGCAACCGACCGGTGCAACATCTACAGAAAACAACTATTGTTTAAAAAAAAAAAAAAAAAAGTTATTTTAACTAAATAAAAACTAAACTTTCATGACCATATTGGTTTTGTTCTTGTGACAGTACCTGACATTTTCCAATCAATTAATATGGACAGATGATACCAATTACAACCTCCAAGACTTCACGGTGCCATGAAAAGTCATAACTTAATTTAAATAAATATAAAAGGACATTAAAAAATAATGAAAAAACAAGAAAACATTCAAATCAGATAAATGTGATGCTTTGAGCCAATTGTCTCCAACTCCAGTCTTCGAGAGCCGGTGTCTTGAAATGATGAGATTAGTCTCTCCTAACCCTAACCCAACACATCTGGCTTGAATATCAGCTCATTAATAGATCTGTAGAGCTTTACTGCATGCTAGTTAGGCAGTAAAAATATTTAATTCAGGTTTGTTGGACAAGGGACACAACTAAAAGTGCAAAAATGGCAGATCCCAAACTTCAAAGAATCTTTCGCTAAAACTTCTAATGCCAGATAGATGGTCAGGGTTCTGGTAGAGTTCACATCAAAATAGAGCTCTACTGACTATTAAAGCAGGCAGTCATAAGACACTTTAGACAAGCTCTTAAAACCTGATGAATAAAGAATAGAAATCCAAAAGGGAAACATGAAAAATATGGTTACTTTAAGATTAATTTTGTTAAGATTAATATAAAAGCATATCTTAAAATCCACAGAGTGGTAAACATGTATTTTCTAAGTGATTATTTGGAATTTTACTCAGGACATTATAGGATAAGATCCATGTGATTTTTGTGACTATATCAGATCTTTAAACCAACTTAGGTCATAGCTCATTATAGTAAGGCTAACAGAATTAACCCAGCACGTAAATGTATAACAAATATAATGACAGGGCTGTAGATTATCCAATTTACCGCATGAAATATTACTTTAAACTATATTCAAGTCATCAAAACAAAATGTAATTGCTATCTAGGTAGGACACGTGCGGTTGTAATTAACATACTTCCTGTTCCCCTATAAAGCGCTTGTTTGGCTGTCAGTTGTGGTAACACGTGTTGATCTGATTGCATTACCAGAATGACAGATTTGCTCTAAAGTCTTGTATATTCTCGAGAAATAAACTGTTCTCATTAAAGTTTTTAACCCATCTAATGATACAAAGTTGTAGAACCCCCCCTAACTGGAAACCCTCTGAGTTTAGTTGACTGAAACCCGGTTAGCTAATATGCGTCTCTCTAGCTGACCTGAACTTAAACACTTAAAAAAAAAGGCCTACTGGCAACGAATAATCCACGAAATGGAGCTGCCATACGTACCGATGAGAATCGCTCAATTCCCAACATCCGAGCTAATCAAACGCCAACAAAAGTTGGGAGACGTGTGGATGCTTTTAGGAAAACTAGACGGCGTTGCTGCAAACACGTGTGGTCCGTTAACCCAAAAAATCTGCAGCAGGTGAAATCTGAAGAATAAATATCCAACCTGACATTATCGCCATACCAAAAAGACTGGTCCCTTGAAACGTTAGCCTCGTCCAACTTCCAGGGAAAGCACACTTAATCTAGCATGTCGCTTTAGCGGGCTAAACGTGACAAACTTACTTACCGTTAGCCCTGTCGGCGAGTTACATTATAAACCACTTTATACCCGCACACGCCAACATGTAAAGTGTTGCAGCGGATGAAAAATAAATAAAATAACCTCTTCATGCCGCGAGTGGGTTAGAATCTGCTTTTCTGTTAGGATCGACTACTTAGCCAAGTTAGCTAAGGTTAGCTTAGCTTAATTTTCAGATAGTTTCATTAAAGGGTCGACTTTAGTTGCCGCTAACTTAACACATTAATAGGGAAGTGGTTTCGATAATTTCAAGATCTAACACATAAGCATTTCAATAAAGTTACTTGTAAATGATAATTTAATATAATGTATCTGCTGCGCCCATGCTAAAGTAGCAGGGCTAGCGGTTAAGGCTAGCCGCAGCTAGCTGATTGTTCACCGCACAACTTTGCCGATGTATTTAACGTGCAACCACGAATTGAGGCTACGCGCACTTCTAGCGTGCGCGTGAATTCTAGTTTTGACATTTATTTTATTAATACAAGAATACTGTTGGAGGATTTGCTCGCCAAAGGCTTCTAAAGCTGAAGAATTACACATACCTCACTTCCTTAAATTTGCCTCGGTCGCAGCCATGTTTTCTGTCCATCCGACTAGTCTGGGGTGTGTGAGCCGACTCAGCCACTCTCGTTAAAAAAGCAACACTATCGTGTGAACATTTTCTGTCTTTCCAGCTATCGTCTTGCAAAATTGAAAAATGTGTGTGGACACGCACAACACGATCATCTTACTCTCTATCCACAGACTGTGACATCAAATATACACAGTGTTCGGCATGTTTGCATCAACTTTTAATAGTGTCAGCCAGCAAAATAAATCAGGATAGATTTTAGTCGTCTGCATAAAATGTGGAATACAGCATTCAGGTGACCAATTAGCTTGCATTTAAAGCAGCACTATGCCCATACACAGAATTAATGCCTTTAATTAGATTGATCATTCTCATCTTACTACACAATGCTTCCTACAGCTGTACACATGTGATGTTACACCTGTGCATTCTGCATGTTTTATAAATAGCTATGCATCTACATGCAGTTTAATGTGACTGTTAAATGAATCAGTGCTTGCGTGTTTAGCATGCGTTTATTACACTCCTGCCAGATATTTCCTGCAAAAATAACAGTTGATCATTCAGATCACATTTATCTAGTGATAATCAAGTGCTGAATTTTGACCATGTTATCATTACTGATACATTCATTTCAAACTAGACATCCGCATAGAGCATGCCAAATTTGTATGTCTACAGAACAGTGCAAAAAAACACAAAAGTCTTTCCTGAGACAGCAGTTAGTCCCTTCATAACCTTTGGATATCGTCACATTTTTTTCTTCTTTCCTTGCCATTCTCTTACGAGGAATTATGCGTGATATATACAGCACACGTGAATGTGACTCATCGATATTAGCAACACATGGACATACATTATGTGCTCATTTGGTCAAGACAAACAAAAGAAATATGGCATTCAGAGTTTTTTTTTTTAGCTGCACATACAGTAATTTAAATGCTTGTTTCTGAGGAAAAAAAATCCCAACATGTGAAATATACAGTGCTAATAGAAATTTAAGAGCGCTTTATACATATTTTACAACATGGCAAGCCTTTTAAGACATGTAAAATCCCTCTGTCAAAAGGCTGTCACATAGCAGTGATGATGATGAGGTCTTTTGATTGAATGCATTAGAAATAAAAGTGCAAAATAAAAAGCTTATTTTTATTATTATTTCCGAGAATGTTTCTTTGTCTGCCCTCAAGTGCTTTGTTAAACCGAGCGCGTCTCCACCTCGATCTTCTCTTCAGACTGCGAGGATTCTGCTTCTTGGTGGCTGACGCTTGGTCGGACCGTCACCAGGGGACCGCCGCCGTAGATGGAGTGAAGGAAGTTCCAAGTCTCTTCAGAGATCTGCCCAGAATCAGCACCTGCAAGGAGAGTGTGAGAAAAAAAAGGGACATTACATTTTGTACACTAACATGTAAATGCTGTTATTATAAGCTGTTTTCATTTTCTGCAAAGTTCGCATATTTAACTATTATGCATGCAATAAGATGGAAATACATGTCAGATTGCTGATTCTATTTTTTCCCCCTATCGATTTTTGGCTATTAATATAACGAAAATTATTTTTCAGGAATCTTTCTCATTTACTTTATTTAACAGATTTACATATAGTTTTTTTTTTTGTATATTCTTGGATTACCTTCCAAATACCAGGCCTAAACTTCTAGGATCATTTCATAAGCTGCTAACAATAGTTGACCCATTCCTTCTGACAGAATCGCTGTAACTGAGTCAGGTTTGTAGGCCGCCTTACTTGCACACACCTTTTTAGCTCTACCCACACATTTTCTATGGCTTATCTGAAACACTGACTTTGTTGTCCTTAAGCCATGGTATGACTAATGTGGCAGCATGCCAGGATGATTGTCCACTTTGAAGATAGATTTTTACCCAAGCTATATCATCCTGGTTGATTTCTTAAGATTTTGATCAAATATATATTCCTCCTTTAAGGTAACATTTATGTTGTGAAGTCCACCTGTCCTTCCTCCATCTCAAAGTTGGTCGCAACTTGCTGCTTTCTCTATAAGCGACATTTTAGCACCAATCATGGGAGGACTTGTTTCACTGTGGTAATGATGGCATCATGCTAGCTTCAGCAAGAATCTTTTAAAAGTCTTCTACTGTTGTTCTAAAACTAACCCACACATTTTGCATTAAAATAAAATCCCCTCTGACAAAACAGAATTCATCCTTTTTCTGAACATTACGATAGCTCGACATTCCCCTGACAGTTACACATGTACATAGATGAATGAGACAACTACATGCATTAGGAGGTTGAATTACAGCTGTGATGTTCCAAAATTCTCATCTCAATACATTTTTTTATTCTTTGTGATTTTTTCCCCCACAAGGGTTAAAATACATCCACATTTTAATGACAGAAGCTCATAATGCCATTAAATACCATGATATAGAAATGTATAGTTTACAGTAATCCAAGTGATATAAAACTTTTAAGTTTAAAGAAAGCAAAGAAAAAAACATTTGGGAATTATGTAAGAAAATAACAGTTTATTCATTGCGACTCACCTCAAACAAAAAGTATTTTCATCTGATTTTATATACCAAGACTCAGACAGAACAGGTCATATAAATATTGGGTTTCAGCTGTACATACCTTGTTTGAGAATCAAATGTCCGTTCTTGTTTATCGTTATCTTGGAGTTATCGATTGGCCCTGGAGGATCTTTCAAAGACAGAACAGCAGAAATTATTATTTGATATCTACAACAGTAATGTTGTTCAGGACGTATTCTTACTGCAGGTGACACAAAGAGTAGTAATGTTAAAATGTCAAACGTTTCTGTCATTTTACAAGAGGCAAAGTCGGATCTCTTTTAGTTACTGACTGAACATAAATATCACAGTAGCAGAAGTCAGAGAGCGAAGGAAGAAGAAAAAAAAAAAGACTTTCTCAAACGTTCCAGATGCAACTCGTTATAAATAGATATGACAATACAAAGCTAGGCAAGCCATGAACATGAGATTTATTCTGACACTTCATTTTGCTGAGAGTCCCGACTCAAGGGACCCGGGAAGTTCTTTGATGAAAAATCAACAGAGGGGGAAAAAGGGAGTTTTTTTCTAAATGAATTGGATCCTCAAACAAGACATTTTCTCTTGTTATTTATCCACATCTACACCAATTATTTACTTAGCAATTAAACATTTTTTGGAGTTATTGACCGACATACATTGGTTTTTACACAGTCTTCATGTGACCTTTTAAAGTAGACATTTAAATGAGGCGAGGGGGGGGGAGGCTAGACTTCAGTCCACTTACCATTGTCTTTTCCTTTGACAAAGCCCTCCCACTCACGAAACCACTGCATGCTGATGCAGTATATGACCACCGGAGACTCCTCCTCCTGGAACGCCTTGTTCAGCTACAGGGAGGGAGCAGTTAAAGAGGGGGGGGCAGAGAGGAAGTGGGGGAGGAGTGAGTGATGGAGACAAGGAGGAGAAAGATGGGTGGGGATGAAAAATATTTGAGGATAAAAGGATTTCAAGAAGAAATGTAAATAAAACCTAATTAATTCTCTTAAATAGTTTTTCCAATAAGAAGACACTCATTGCACCAAATTCATGTTTCTCAGAAACAACAAACTCACTGTTATTTCTTCTATCGTGTTGTTTTCCTTTTAATTCACACACATAATACATTTATCTGTCCTTGAAGCAGCTTCTGTGTGAGTGAGCACACCAAGCAGGCACTAAAAGCTGCATCTGTCTCCATCCATTAATGATAAAGCTTTTATCGGGCTCACTCTTCTCATCTCATCAACTGGTTACACAAAGACTGCAGAAGAGGCATCTATATACGCCCATTAAGCTCTGGTTACTTGGAGGCATTATCATTCACACCTGTTTTCCCAAATAACTTATTTTCTCAGCTTAGCCAGACTCTATCGGAACCGTTTCAACATTTCAAAGAGAGAGGTGCTCACCCTGACAAACATGTCCAGTTCAGATTTGCGCCGCTTTTCCAGCTTTTCTATCTCAATCTGGCATGTGTGGCAAACATACAGGTGGTTGACGGCAGGCCCCCCTCCGTACCTGTAGAGGAAGAGACGGTCTAGTTAAACAAAACGCACGTTAACGTTGCTGTGTGAAACGTGCGCAGCCAGCCCACTGCCTTTTACCTGCTGTAAAGGTGGTCCCACACGTTCTGGGGCAGCATCACCACCAGGTCATCAATGTAGGAGGCTTTGTTAGGTGGCACACCTGATGAAACAAGCAAACCGCAGACATTTCACTCACAGTGAATCAATTTCTCTGAAAATTGTATATCATAAAAATCTAATGAAAACCCATAAGGATCAAAAAAGATCAAAAGGAAGGTGGTTTTATTTTTGAGGATTGTTCTTATAAGCGAACATGTTCATGAACAAGCTGTCATGTTCATGAACAGCAGACTGGAATATTCAAGAGGGTAAAAGTGAAGTTGAGGCTCTCTTAAAGAGAGGTGGACTGAGATTCTACGAGATTCTATAACCCATAAGTTCATAAGATGGTTTCGGTCAAGTCAGGAAGAGGCCAATGTCCCTAAACTTTTCTCTTTTAACCTCTTAAGAGGGTTTTAAAAACTAATTTCCATCTCAAATAAACTATAAAATAAATGAAGAATAGCTCCACTGTTATCAGGTCTAACATTTACTATAAAGGCTAACGTGAAATATTTATTATCCAGTTGATGTTATGTCATGCCAGATTTGTTTGTGATTAAAAAAAGGAAATCTTACATTTTGAAAGCCTATTGGTCTTAGTGGATAGGTAAACAATAGATAAACAGAAAATAAAGTGTGGAGAATTCCTTGCTTGTAGATGGTTCCAAAACAAAACAAAAACTCCATTTGTCACTTTACAAACATTGCTATAGTGGTGTCTGCTTCATACAATAAATTGGCAAAGGAAATATTTTTGCAGTATATTAGTCTTTTTATTAATTAAATTAGGGAGAATAAAATGTAATTAGTTTTGCTAAAACTAATTTTATTTGCAGCTCATAGAAGCCATCAGCCTGTAAAACTAATATTTATATGTTCTCTGGTTCTGAATAAGAATTTGCAAAAGAAGAACATCTGAGAATATAATTACATATAGGGCTTCAAAATCCTTTGATGGAAGAATTGAAAAATAATCCCCATTTTTCACAATACCAAAGTTTTAAAGTTTTATTTTCCTTGTCCTTCAGTAATGCCCCCTTAGCTCCCCTTTAACACTCAACCATTTTAGCAATGTTGAACATTCCCTATATGTAAAAATCTTTTTATAGGCTAGGACTGAAACTTTGAGACTGAAGAAAGTCAGTGTAAAGTTTTTTTTTTTTTAAATTGCAACATATGCTCCTTCTTTGTTTATGGCTATTCCTGTTTAAACAGAAAAGGAAAAAGGCTGATTCTGGGACAAAGGAGATGGAGAAAAATGTGCTTAAAAGCTTTCTTACAGTGAATATAACCATGACAAGTTCAGACAGTGAACATTTTGATTAACAGGTACTTAAATGCTGTATAGGGTTCAAATTATAATCATCTTTGTAGCTCATTATTTTTTAGGTTACCAATTATTTAAATCGTCATAATTTATCCAAAAAAATCAGCTCAACATTTTAAAAGAAATTGTTTTTTATCTTTTAAACAGGCATGAAGAAAATCAATCATATGGGGTCAATAATAAAGAAGAAAATATCTAAGTGCACATTTCCCAAGGTGAGAAACTGTAAACTTCAGTGGAAACAACCTGAACTGCTTCTTTTTCCATGAGGCAATAATAGTTTTGCTGAACTGATATTCTCTGTACAAGTCAGGTATGACATGTTTATGTCCGGGAGGCAGCAAAGATCAAGGGGTTCTGCGTGTGCACAAGGAAATATTTGTTATGTTGTTGCTATACATACATTTTTTTTATGCTTCCTGTAAAACCAAATGTCTGAAACTCATGGGAATATACAGGCCTAACAATGAGATTAGGACAACGCATTGAACTGATGGTCTAAATCTGGTTTGGGGAGAGGTTTCAATGAGGAAATGACTTACGCACCTCCATGCACACAGAGGAAGTCATTATTGGAAATGGGGCCCGGCTCAGCAAAGGTCTTGAATTTGTTAAGCCACTGCCGGGAGACGTAGAACTGCAGAAGGCTGGGCTCCATCATGTTCAATAATCCCGACACCCTCCTACGTTCTTTTACTGCGTCCTCATTGCTTTTTCTGTGGCGGAAACACAAACATGTTAATCAGATGTGAGTAAAGTCAAAGCAGCAGAGTTAGCATGAAAGGTTTAACTCTGATGTCTTACTTGTAAAAGAGAACATAAGCTTCTGCATTCTGGACGCAGGACTCAGACACCTCAGTCACACTCTGATCATCAAATTCATACCACAGATTGTTCAGATCGTTCCTACAGTACGCTATGTAGTGGCCACCTATTAGGAGACAGGCAGGGAAGTGTGAGAGCAGCGTTCACAAATTATAACAAGTCGGTGTGAATTTCAATGCGCATGCTTTCAAATCTAGTACGCTAATGTGTGCCAAAAACATGGCAGCCGCCGCAGAGTCCCATAGAAAGACAAGCTACTGTGCCCACTCACTGCTGGCAGTGCCATGGTGACAGATGACTGACAGAAGGTCATAGCTGGTGGTCTGGGCGGAGCTGTCTTTGGCCAGGAAAGGCTGCAGGTCCAAGCCTTCCAGTGGGAAGGAGACGTGGGTGCCTATCTTGGTGGAGTACATTAGCTCATGTCTGAAGCGCTTAAGGTGAATACACAGAATCTGGAGAAAACAGGATTCTGCTTAAGCATTTTAGAGAAAACATTCCTGAAAATATGGATAAGGATGGTGGTTAAACGTATTTACCTCTGGCAAATTCTGCATTTTACAAAATTTGACTCCGTTTCGCAGCCTGAAAAAAAAAAAAAAGGATCAGCTTTTTAAAAACAGTCTATGGTTTATTTCAGGAAAAGCAAATGAAGTCAAAAAGTACCCACTTTTTGCACTTTTCACAGCTATACATGTTATCTCCTAGGAACAAAAGAACATTTATTAAAACAGGAATGGTTTGTATTTGATGAGCCAGAGGTTTGTGTAATTGACCTACCCTTCAGTTCATCCCGAGCAAAGAAAGCAGCAAGGCAGTCTTGTAGAGTAACCACCGGACCCCAGAACCAGCTGGAACAGGACAATTAGCAACAGGTTTACAGAATGTAACCAAGGTATGATATGCTGGACCAGTAGAGCCAGTGTAAGGTTTTCCACAGACCTTTTGATGTACTCCATAACAAACGCTATCCAGCCTTGAGGAGCGTAGGCTTCCCCACAGGAGCCGGCTTTCACCAGGGAGGTCTGGTGGGATGCCGAGTGGAGTTTGGCCAGGTCCTCTTTCCCTGGAATGGGCAACGAGATATCCTGGAAGTTCTCCAGGGTCACGGATACCTGCAACCACATCGTAAAGATTCACCTATGGTCGAATTTTTGGATTCCCTCTCATACATTTCTCAAATGTTGTAACCTCGTGGCAGAAAACAAGCAAAACGTTGCATCAAAATAAAGTGTGCATTTAATATTATATTCATTAAGTCTAATCTCATTTTAGTTTCATGTTAGCCAGCTGCTGATTGAGCTCAGAGATGATAAAGAACAATTTCTATTTCATTCCCAACCATTGCCAGAGGGCGGTGCATAAAGCTCTGAATGTTCAAGTAATTATACCAACAGAGTAACACCTGTGACACCACAGATGACCAATAAGAAGCCATATACATATGCGGACATCATCCTAGGCTCTGTTCCTACAAGATCTTATATAAATACATTATACATAGATTTCATTTAAATGTTCATCCTTTAGATGAAAAAAAAACCTAAACCATGATTGTACGAACTTTGTACGATGTGAAAAATGAGGACAATAGTAAAAGTCGCATGATCTCTGCTTCTAAATATAACGATCACGATAGACTGCTTAGATGCATATTTTTGGTAGGATATCATTTTCCAATTACCATTCATTTAAACTTTTGTTTAACTGGATGAAAAGGCCGCTAATACCCACACCAGATGTTTGCCTTTACCGATCGAGATTGTACAGCTCAAAGAAACAGGTGGAACACCATTATGAAGGGAAAAAATCAGTAGCAATATTCCTGGTAAATCAGCTCCTCCAAATGTTATGTGTCTAATATCATCCCTTATCATTGGTTGCATTAAAAAAAAAGAGAACAGTTTTTGTGTATTTTATGATCGTTTCTCATCACTTTCAGCATATAATGTATTAGGGGCCTGTAAGGTGGTAATAGGGTAAAACCAAAAGAAAAGCCACACTGACCCGATCACAGGTGAGGCACTGAACTGAGCTGACAATAGTCCCATCAAAGACATCTGAAATGACGCTGCGGTATTTCTTCTGACGTTTGTTCTTTGGAGGGGAGAACGTGGTGACAGCTGTGAGAAGCAGAGAGGAAGAAATGTGAGAATACTCATTTACAGTCAGGTTCTGCCAAGGATCTTCACGCCATCCTTTCCCCCCCACATTTCCTTTTTTTAAACTCTCAATGGGACCGTTTCTAATCAAATCTAAGCAACAGAAGCTTTGTACCTTTCTTGTATGTAGGGTTTAGGCTCATCCACCCAGAGGTGGCTTTAGGAGGACTGCTGGATATTTTGGGAATATGTCCCTCCATGGCGACTGGGCTTTGAGGTCTTGTGATGTTGGACATTTGGATATCTGAAAAGCAATCTAATTGAGAAGAAATAATGGTTAAGACTGTACATGTTTTCAATGCAAAACTATGTTTGCAACATTCTGTCAAGTAAGAAACACAATATTAAGGTTAAAGGGGAACTCCGTTTTTTTCACATTGGACCCTTGATTTTACGTTATTAGATCATGTTCTACTCACCCATATTAGTTCTGAAGATATTCCGTTAGGTTATATCCGAGTAACGTCTTCCTATGGGCAACGACTTGAAGGCACAAACTGAACTGTTTATAATCTATCATTTATGGTATGCCAGCATTCATAACATGTAGACGAATCATTGTCCCCCAGACATCCGCGGTTATATTTTTTATATTCATTTTTTTTTTTTAAACAAAGCGGAGTGTGTATGACAACATAGAACATGTAGAACATGATGTAATAACGTAAAATCAAGGGCCCAATGTAAAAAAAAAACTGCATTCCCCTTTAAATATCATGCAAAAACAAACTGTTTTAAGCCTTTAACTATGTTATAACTCAATTCCTTCATTAAAATCTTGTACAACTTTCCCACAAGAAAGATTGAAAGACAACTATTAGTCCGGATCTACACGAATATATGGAAGAACAACAGGAATAGACTTCTAATAGAGCAGCATGAAACTTTAGGCAATGCATTAGGAATGCATAGAGGAAGGTGCTTTGCTCAGATGAAACCAAAACTGGGCTTTTTTTAAAACACACCAGCCCAATGTTAACACATGGGAGTGGCAGCATTGAGATGTGGGCATGCTTTTCCTCAAGAGGGACAGAGAAGGTGGTTAGGACTAACAGGAAGTCAAATAGAGATCAATTTAGTGAAGTGGGGTGGAAGTTGACATTTAGCAGGACAATCCTAAACAAACAGCCAGAGCTACAATAAAATGGTTTAAATCACAGCGTATTAGTATGTTAAAACCACCAAGTCAAAGCCCAGACCTGAACATATCACTCAATCTGTGGCAAGGATTAAAATCTGATGAATACAAACACGTCCTAAAGTCTGAATAAACTTGAGCCATTTTGCCAAAAAAGTTCTCAAAAAAACTGGGGGTTGAATTCACAGGATTATCAGATTTTTATTAGAAAAATCATGTATCTTTAAATTGATCTGTCAAACAAACCTTCAAAATAAACCTTTATGTTAGTTTTAATCTGAAATGTCAAGGGAGTAAATACTGATAATGTTTGCGTAACTCTGAATATAAATAAGCAGTAAACAAAAAACAAGAGTGGAGTGAAATGTATTACCTGATGTTCTGCTTTGGACCTTGAGGGCTCCTTGGCTACTGATAATGGGTGTGGTTTCTGTGGCGGTGTCAACGTCTTTGTCGACGTCGGCCTCATTGCTTCCCACCAAAACACCGTTCCCCCCGGAGCGGTACAGATCATTGATCATGTTCTTCTCCTTCTGCCACTCCCTGTTGGCCTGGATCTCGTCCTGCTCAGGAATCCGCATCTCTGCCTCGTTGGTGTAATCCATTACTACGTTACTGCCTTGCGTTTCGTTATCTGCCTTTTCGCTGCTTCCACAGGATTCGCAGGACTGGAAGTCGTTGTCTGACTGGCTGTGGTTGTCCTCCTCTGGGCCGTCATCCATGGTGATGCTGTTGGACGGGTCGAAGGGCTCCGGCACAGACTCTTTCAGCTCCTCGTGAAGTTGATCCATCAAGCAGCGGAGAAATTCTTGGGAATCCTAGCAGTCAAATTGAAAAAAAAAAAGACTTTCAGTTTTATAATGATTTCATCTGTGACATTATCTCTTATTGACAGAAAGAAAACCCTAAAGTACCACGAAAAATTGCATCCTGACCAACAGAGTGAAGCTTTTCCAGCCACACTGGCCTCAAATTACACACCAAGACCATTTCTCCTCCGTGTTCATGACAATTCTGGATCACAAAATCCGAAACCAAACACGGATGAACGTTTAATCAAACCTAACGAACCTCAGAAATCCAATCTCCTCCTTCAAGCCAAATTAACTTCCCTCTCTCAGGAGCTGGAATGTTATCTGTATTCATAGCAATGCTAATTTAGGACCCTGTGGCTCAACGCGGCGTGACGAATGAATATCCCTCACCTAACATTTCCAAACAAACTCTGGCAAGCCAGGAGGAAAGAAGCAGTTTTATTACTTGCTGAAGACATGGTGAGCTTTAGTTTCACGCCATTTTTATTCTATACATTGGTAAGGTGTGCAGCTTTACCTCTAGAATCATGTGGACAATAACCATTTTTAGTTATTAAATCAATAGTAGAAATGTATTTTGGTCCCTGTTGCTAAAACAAAGAATAGTGAAAAGATTTAATTAGATCTATAAGACTTAATTCTAAAATCTCTTATATATATATATATAAATAAATATATATATATACAAACATATGTAAAATCTACAGTGACAGGTGTAGATATTCATACTCCTCTGATGTTGTCACAGTAGAACAATAATTTCCTATGTATTACAGAGGGATTTCTTGCAAAAGATTCAACTAAAAGCATATGACTGGATTTAGAAGAAGAAGAAAAAAAGCAAATCACCAAAATCAAAACCTCCTAAAGTTTGTGGTAGGCTCTTGAGAGGTTATCCTGTGTCTAGCTCCTGGAAGGAAGGCATCTTAAAACATTGTTTTGTTCTTTAACATGTCTGGTTCAGATACTGCAGCACAGAAAAAGCTTGTTAATTGTCCATAAGTGGAAATCAGCTGTGCTGAAGAGGAGAAATTTCCAAAACCTGCAGAAAAAGCAACCCTCAAGGACCGAATTTGGACATCCCTGGTTTAGGGTTATGTGCAGTTTTTTTTATATGGTTACTTCTTGAAACACAGATTCTCTTTGAGGATTATCAGAGCCAAGCTGCACAAAGAGTTTATATTTTCATATTGAAACCAACTATAATTTGCCTACATTTCAAACTGCTCATTTACTTTGCAATGCTTCAACACTTCAAATATCTGTTAAGACTTTGAATTCTGTTTTTAATGTGACAAAATGTGGGAAAGATCAGAGGGACGGAGACTGCATGTTACACACCAGTTACATCATAAATGATAACCTACCTGCTGGGAATACCCTCTAAACATGGGGTTTATGGCTTTGATTCCTTGGAACAAGTTGGTTGGAACCACATAGGAGGGTCTGCAATGCGAGGGGGAAAAAAAACATCAGTCACATAACTTCTATTCCAGAGTGAGAAAGCAGCTTCTACAGAACGCTTGCTCTGCAAAGCAGCTACCGCACTGTGGTCATCTTGCAGTCCGTGGGTGGGGCAGTATTATAAATGACATCTGGACTCATAAAATGCGGCTTGCAAAGACTTATTTTACACACACCCAGTTGTGATGGCTGCAACTACAGCCACCCAAATGTGGTAACATTCAATCACAACACACACTAAGTCAGCAAGTCTCATTTCATTTATATTGGGATTTCTTTACATTTAGGATTTAATTTACAGAATTTTTGTAAGTCATAACACTGTATTCTAGAATAAGTGCGCACATTTTAGTTTACACTGTTATGTTCTGCTTGATTTAATCTTTGTTTGTTTTTTTGAGTCACCTCAGTGCTGGCTGCTCCAGTCCTTCAGGAGAACAGAGGTGGAGAAGGGGTGGAGCCAGCCCATTGAAGCTGCAAATTGGTTTACACCACTTCTCATCAGCAAGAGGGGGGGAATGGGATTTTCCTCTGTTAATTTCAGTTAGGTTTTTGTGTGTTTCCCCCTTTGTATCGTCTATGTGGCCTGATCAGCCAGTATTTAAGTTTTCCCTTTGTCTCATGTAGCAGGTCTGTTTGTTTCAGTAGGTCTTTTGTTAGCCTGAGTTAAATTCTGTTACTTTGACCTCTTTTATGGGCCCAACTTTGTGATTTGTTTTTGTTGACCCAAGTTCTTTGTTTTGGGTTCAATAAAAAGACTTTTTGGATCTAAACCTGTGCCTGATCTTCCCTTGACTGCTCAGACCATCACAATTGGTGTCAGAAGTGGGATTTTTGCAGTCAGAGGTACAGGTTTATTTTTTCTTTTTTGATTAGTCCCTCCCCTGTTATCAAGCCATACACAGAACAGGAAGGAGTGCCAAAGGATCAAAAGGAGATCCTCAAAACCAGCCTGTTGGAATGGAGGAGCAAGTTGGAGAAGAAAGTGGAGACTCTGGAGGGGTGGAAAGTAAAGAGGGTAAGGAGCCAACAATATCTGAAGTAATTTCCATTCTTCGTGCTCATATGGGCCAGCAGGAAGCCCAGGAAGCAAGACGAAGGGAGGAGTTTGATCGGCAGGAACAGCGCTTCAGAGCACTACAACACCAATTTCAGCTATTACAGGTGGAAGTGCAAGCTCGTACCACCCCTGCTCCTGAGCCTCAAATGGATGAATCACAATCAGATACAGGTGATGATGATGATGATGATCCTCCACATGGCAGTAATGAGCTAAGGGATGCTCCCTCAGGTCAGTTTCACTTTCATGAACCCAGACTTGAAAAACTGACAGATGAGGATGATATTGAACATTTCCTGACAACATTTGAACGCATGGCTCTAGTTTGCCGGTGGAAAAGAGCGGATTGGGTTTTCCATCTGATTCCACTACTCACTGGTAAAGCAAGAGGTGCGTATGTTCATATGGATATGGATGACTCTCTGGATTATGATAAAGTTAAAGAAGCTGTTCTTCAAAAGTATGACATCAATCCTGAGACATACAGATTGAGATTTCGATCACTGGAAGTAAAACCAGATGAGAATCCAAAAGAACTGTATGCAAGACTGAAAGAGTTGTACGGAAAGTGGGTGATGCCAAAACAAAAAACTGTGCATGAGGTCAGTGAAATAATCATTTTGGAACAATACTTAAGAATGTTGTCTCCTGAGTTGCAGATATGGATTAAAGAACATAACCCAAAGTCTGCTGCAGAAGCTGCGCAGTTGGCTGATGTGTTTGTGGCCGCACAGAGAAAGGGACAACCATGGAGTCAAACAGCATGGAAAAGGAGGGAGGTTTCAAAGCCTGTTCCTCACTACCAAAAGGCAGGGGTGAGTAAAACTCTAAAGACCCAGCCATTGAATGCACCATCAAGAGCCCCAACCAAGACAGTGATCTGTTATCTGTGTGGGATGGAAGGGCACACAAAACCAATGTGCCCGCAAAACTCTACAAATATAACACAAATGTGTTTTGTGCCCAGAAAAAGTGTGGACTCTAAAGTGCCGTTTGGCTTGAGGACGACCTCAATTGAAGTTGAGGGTAAGCAATTAAAGGCCCTCATTGATTCAGGAAGTACACAAACCCTGGTGCACAGAGACTTTGTTCCAGCAAATAAAGTTAATGTGGAAACAATCCCTGTCCGCTGTGTTCACGGACATGAGTTATTATATCCAACAGCAGAGCTGTATATTAAAGTACAAGGCCAACTCTACCTTTTAAATATTGGTGTGGCTGAAAACTTGCCATTTCCAGTAGTGTTGGGTCAAGATCTGCCGGTGTTGTGTGATTTATTGAACTTTAACAATATGTGCAATGCGGCATTAACCAGATCTCAGGCTAGTAAGAGGGAGGAGTTTCTGCAACCACTCTGTGCCTTACCTTTTTATGATGCGGACCTGGAGACCACGCCTGGGAAGTCTCGCAAGTCCCGCAGACAGCGACGGCAAGAGAAATTTCAACACTCTGTTGTAGAACTATCTTCTAGCTCTAAGCCTGCGTTACCTTTGGGGTTTAAAATCCCTGCTAACATAATCGAAATGCAACATAGTGATCCAGCTCTAACACCTTTATTTCAGAAAGCAGAGGGAAACCAACAACCTGAACGAGGTTCAAAGAAGCTGGAGGAATTTTTTTTGAAAGATGGCATCCTGTACCGTCAACAGGGGTCAGTGTTGCAGTTGGTGGTTCCCAGACCAGTCCAGAAGGTGGTGCTGTCCTTAGGACATTCCATTCCATGGGCTGGCCATCTTGGAAAGCACAAGACAATGGCCCGCATCAGAAAATACTTTTACTGGCCTGGAATACAATCTGACGTGGCTCTCTTCTGCAAAGGCTGCCCTCAGTGCCAAAAGTCTTCTCTAAAAATCCCCTCCAGAGCTCCTCTTCAGTCGTTACCAATCATCAACACGCCGTTTGAACGGCTGGGAATGGACATTGTTGGTCCCCTGGAAAAAAGTAAATCAGGCAATCGTTATATGCTTGTGATTCTGGATTATGCTACAAAATATCCAGAGGTGTTTCCTTTGAAATCAATAAAAGCTAAAGCAGTTGCCTTCTGTCTCATACAGCTCTTCTCACGAGTGGGGTTTCCTGCTGAGATTCTTACTGACTGTGGAACTAACTTTCTGTCCACTCTGTTGAAGCAGGTGTACCAACTCCTCGGCATTAGGAGCCTGAAGACCACTCCATACCATCCTCAGACAGATGGCCTTACAGAGCGCTTCAATCAGACTTTGAAACAGATGTTAAGAAAGTTTGTCAACGAAACCGGTACAGACTGGGACCAGTGGTTGCCTTACCTTCTCTTTGCATATCGAGAAGTGCCACAGGCCTCCACTGGTTTTTCACCATTTGAATTGCTATATGGTTATGATGTACGAGGTCCTCTATCTCTCCTAAGGGAGACATGGGAAGGTGACAAAGAAAGCTCTCAAGCTGTAAATGTTGTCTCTTATGTTGTCCAGATGCGGGAACGGCTGGAAAGGATGACTGCATTGGCCCAAGCTCACAAAGAGGAAGCACAGAAACATCAGAAAAACTGGTATGACCAGTCAGCTCGCCACAGGTCCTTCAGGCCTGGCCAGAAAGTGCTGGTGCTCCTTCCAAGTGCTGACAGTAAGCTGCTGGCAAAATGGCAAGGCCCGTATGAAATCCAGAGCAGACTGGGACAAACAACCTACAAGATTGCCATGCCAGATCAGCCCCGCTCCACCAGAGTACTTCATGTCAACCTGCTTAAAGAATGGGTGGAGAGACCAAAGGCAGATGTTTTTCTTATTCAGGAGGTTCTAGAGGAGGAGGAAGAGGATACTCAATATCTGCCAAAACCCTCACCTCAGTTTCTAGACCTGAATCACCTCTCTGAGGAAAAGCAAGCTCAGGTGAGAGATCTTTGTAAACCAAACATGTTCCAGGGAAATCCTGGTAAAACAGAACTTGTCCAACATGACATTGTATTAAAAAATGGAGCTTCTGTGAGAAGACTGAGTTACAGAATACCTGAGCGCCTGTTGGTTTCCCTAAAAGAAGAAGTCAACCTGATGCTGTCACTTGGAATTATTGAACCATCAAGGAGTGAGTGGTGCCACCCAGTGGTTCTGGTGCCAAAGAAGGACGGCAGCATACGTTTCTGCATTGATTTCAGGTATCTGAATGGAATAACACATTTTGATTCATATCCAACTCCCCGCATTGATGACATGGTTGAGCGGCTTGGGAAAGCCAGATATTTAACAACCATAGATCTCTGCAAGGGTTATTGGCAGGTACCCCTGACGGAACGTTCAAAAGAACTGACTGCTTTCCGGACCCCCTGGGGCCTGTTCCAGTTTAAAGTCATGCCATTCGGATTACATGGTGCCCCGGCAACATTCCAGAGACTGATGGATCAGGTACTGTCTGACATGTCTAATTTTGCTGCGGCCTATCTTGATGACATAGTCATTTTCAGTTCTACCTGGGAAGACCACCTGAAACACCTGGAGAGGGTGTTGGAGCGCCTCCAATCTGCGGGGTTGACTATTAATCCAGCCAAGTGTGCAATTGCCAAGGCTGAAACTGAGTACCTTGGGTTCGTGATCGGAAATGGAGTGATAAAGCCTCAAATAAATAAAATTGCAGCTATAGAGTCTTGTCCTCTGCCTGAGACTAGAAAGCAGTTAAGATCCTTTTTGGGTATGGCAGGATTCTACCATCGGTTTATCCCCCATTTCTCAGCCAGGGCCGCTCTACTAACAGACCTCACTGGTTCCCGAAGCCCCCATAAGATCATCTGGACGGAGGAGGCCAAGACGGCTTTCCAGGATCTGCGACAATCTCTCAGTAAGAGTCCAGTCCTGCACAGCCCTGATTTTGAAGGAAATTTTATTCTTCAGACTGATGCCTCTGAGAGAGGTTTGGGTGCCGTTCTGTTACAGGGACCACCTGGAGATCGCCATCCAGTGGCTTTTATTAGCCGCAAACTCTTTCCAAGGGAAGTGCGATATTCAACCATTGAAAAAGAGGCACTGGCCATCAAATGGGCCCTGGATTCCTTCCGGTACTACCTTCTTGGGAGAGAGTTCAACTTAGAAACTGACCACAAAGCTCTGCAATGGATGGAGAAGATGAAAGATACAAATGGAAGGATTACACGCTGGTACCTTGCAATCCAGCCGTTTCGATTCACCATCCACCATATCCCTGGCAAGGACAACTGCATTGCGGATTGTCTCTCTCGCTGTCCCAGCAAGAGATTTGAAGAGGGGGAGTGTGTGATGGCTGCAACTACAGCCACCCAAATGTGGTAACATTCAATCACAACACACACTAAGTCAGCAAGTCTCATTTCATTTATATTGGGATTTCTTTACATTTAGGATTTAATTTACAGAATTTTTGTAAGTCATAACACTGTATTCTAGAATAAGTGCGCACATTTTAGTTTACACTGTTATGTTCTGCTTGATTTAATCTTTGTTTGTTTTTTTGAGTCACCTCAGTGCTGGCTGCTCCAGTCCTTCAGGAGAACAGAGGTGGAGAAGGGGTGGAGCCAGCCCATTGAAGCTGCAAATTGGTTTACACCACTTCTCATCAGCAAGAGGGGGGGAATGGGATTTTCCTCTGTTAATTTCAGTTAGGTTTTTGTGTGTTTCCCCCTTTGTATCGTCTATGTGGCCTGATCAGCCAGTATTTAAGTTTTCCCTTTGTCTCATGTAGCAGGTCTGTTTGTTTCAGTAGGTCTTTTGTTAGCCTGAGTTAAATTCTGTTACTTTGACCTCTTTTATGGGCCCAACTTTGTGATTTGTTTTTGTTGACCCAAGTTCTTTGTTTTGGGTTCAATAAAAAGACTTTTTGGATCTAAACCTGTGCCTGATCTTCCCTTGACTGCTCAGACCATCACACCAGTATTTAGAGATAACTAAGGGGGAAAAAAGATAAAAAGACAAAAAAAGAAGATGATTCCCCAACCTGTTCTTGTGCCACAGGTCTGACACCAGCTTCTGGTAGCTTTTGCAGAGGGCAGGCTTCTTGTCTGTTCTCACCAAGCCACCGCATTCAAGAAAAAACTGTGTCAAGGGTGGGCTGAAGTGAGAGAAAAAATATATATTGTTCATAAGATTAACTCAGATTACTTTAAAAAAAAAGAATCGGGAAATCTGATTAGGTTTATTTCCCTGTAGTTGTTCCAATACTTTCTTAGTTCTTTATTTATGTTTTAATTATAAATAAAATCTTATTTTACTTGCAGAGTGTTCACAGAACTCCCACAGCTACTAACCCATGCAGGGGAAACCTTTCATGTTGGTGAGAGCTTAATAACAGTAAACCAAATGAAAAAGAAAGAGAAACACTACAGGGAGTTTGTTGGGCTGATGTCTTCGGCTCAATTACAGACAACAAAGTTTCAGAAAGTACCTGTCCTCCTGCACAATCTTAACACAGTTTTGATAACAAAGCTTGACCCTCATTGTCAGATCTGATTTGAATTACAAAGAAATATTAACTACATTGCCTAAATTGGTCTGGAAATAGCTGCCAAAGGGAACAGCAGTAAAGAACAAAGAGGGAGAATTGTAAGATGAGAGGTGGATAGAGTCGAGGTTGATCTGTAAGACAAGAGCCCATGGGGAACTACAAAAGGTCAATTTCTGGCTTCTCAAATGGTGCACTGCACCAGTTCACACTAAGCCATCAATCTCCCAAATGAACACAGTCATGGTTATTTCTCAAACTCTGCAAGAAGTGGGCAGGCAATGAATAAAAAAGCAAAATGTTACAGTAAAATAATGCTGATAGTGTGATGGATATACACATAGTAACATAGAAAAGGAGGGGAAAAAAACAATGATGTGCCCTAGATGGGTATGTGGAGGATCATTCTCACCAGTTAGAAAGGGCTTGGAGGGCAGCGTTCATGTAGCAGGTGTTGCCAATATTCTTCAGCCCTGTTAAACCTAAAGGGGAATGAGAACACCCTGGAAGTTAGAACAAAGTTCTAATGATATATACTTATTCCTTTCTTAAAATTCAAGTGGACATATTCTAAGGTCGCTATCTATTTAAACAACATGGAAACACCCAAGAGGCAATGTAATCTTCAGAAAGTTAATAGTTAATTGCCTGCAGTAACAAAATTTCCAGCAGGAGGGACTGGTGTGCTATGTAAAAGAAATACATCATGAGGAAAAGGGTCATTATCAAGACTAAATTTCAAAATATCAACCACAAAGTTAAAGCTTGGATGCAAACAGGTCTTTCAAATAGAAAATAACTTAAAATATATTATCACTAAATTAGTTACAAAATAAGAGTTTTTTTTTTTTTTTTTGGAGTGACCATCACAAATCCCTGATCTCAGAATTCATACCAGATAAGGTATATCTGCAGAACAGCCAACAAACTGGACACGGTGAGAAGGGTTCTGTCAATAGGAATGGATCAAAACCCCAATAAATTACTATTGTTAATGGAAACCCAGAGACAGACTTTAGTAATTCTTTTAAATCATTTGTTTTATTCTGTGCTTGAAATTATTTAAAAAAAATGAAATCATAAATGTTATTGTATCATTTGAAATGTGAAATTATTTATTTCCTAAATGATATTTGCCACATACTTCTTGGATCTTATTAGTCTTCTATTATTTTCATTTAAACTCTACAGTGATTAATACATATTTTATCAAGTTGTAAATAAAATTTTCTCTATTATTAGATCCCTGTGTAGAAATATACTGAACATTTTAAAGTACACGGACATTATTTCTAGAATATTCCTAAGAAAGATCTTTGCTATTTTGTAACCTTGAGGCATGAGAATGTCTCCTATCTTTAAACCCATTCTAAAGATTCTGTGAAACATTTTAGCAGAGCAGTGTTTATATCTTAGCAGCACTATATAAGCCGTTAGGTGGCGTTTGTATATCCAAAGCACAGAGCTAAACACTGTCAGCTTTAATGGCTGCAGTGAACCACATCTGCAGCTGCTCAGGGACCCTTGTGCACATAAACTAAAGCAACAATTTTTAGCTACAGTTGCTAGTTTGTGAAGTTTATGGAATTAAATCATATCAGTAGTAGAACACAAAGCTTTTTTATTTTAGGAGCACAGAGTAACTCATCTCCAAAACTTTATCACTGGGATGTCTGTGTTTGATTTCTGCTGCAGTAAAATGATGGAAGACTTGAGACAGGGTGAGGCAACCCTGTCATCAGTTTTAGGTCTTTTAAGGTGGTTCATGTTGTTCGGATTGTTACAGAGAAAAATAACACTTCCCTTTGCTTCCAATCACAGGCTGCGCTTTGGACTAACCTCACCGCAGATTACGGACTCAGGACGTTCAACATGTTTATATTTGAATCTTGATTAAAACAGGGAAGACGTTGTCAGCTTTAATACCCTTTTATTTATTAACGAAATGGTTTTTAAAGGAAGAATGGGACTCCTTTGAACTATATCCTTCATGTGTTCTTTACATACTTTAAAATATAATTAGGGGAACTCACCTCTGGCCTGCAGGTCATCTTCCTCTTCTGTCTCCATGTCCAAGTCTTCATAACCTGCATTAGAAGGCAGTCGTGGAGAATTCGGACTCCCAGGGATCCTGCCGTTCTCCTATGGTAACATCATCCACAGAGAATATCATCTTTGGTTATTAAGCAAACAAGCAGAGAAAGCATTGCAATATTGCAACCTTTTAATTTTGTGCAACTGTGCAGCAACATATACATCAAACATAAAATAAGCTACTATGCAGAATTCAGTGCGAACTTGAACCTTTAGTGGTGAGGTACCTGAAAAGGACTCTGGGATAATGGGAGAGGTTTGACGATGGCGTGGGGAGAATGAGGACCCAGTTTACGCTCCAGGAAAACCTCTTTACCGCATGCATAGCACCACACTCGAAGCGTCGTCAGATTCACTGTCAGGTTGTGCCTTGTCTCCTGCACAAAAATACATGAAAAGAGAAAACTTATTATTCCATTAAAAAATTTAATTCTTAAAAGAATATAAACCCATATAATTAAAATGTTGTAGTAGTAAATCATATTTTTTGTAATAAGAATACACAAAAAAAAGGCATGAGGTTAACGTAGTCCTCTGGAGGCATTGCTTCATGCAACCACTTCATGCAAACTGTTTGTCTATTTGTCCATCTATCACAAACCAGCCTAAAGAGCCAAAACAGAACCTCATCAGGACGAGGGACATTGGAACAGTAAGATAGAATCTCTGACTGTGATGCATTTCTTTCCATAAAAAGAATCCCTATTAACATTGCCTGGTGTTTTCTTTGTTTGTTTTTTTGTTGAACAGAAGCTATTGCTGACATGTTCAATGCTCAAACCTGAGAAAGAGATCCAACTAGAGGTAAACTTATTCTACTTACAGAACAGAGGGAGTTAGCCTTTGATTTCGGTGCTAACTATTAGCAATATACGCCAATATGTTTCTTATGTCTTCAAGAGCAAGTTATGCCAAAAAATTAACTCAACAGGACACAACCATGATTTCATAAGATGTAAAGTATCAAAAGTATAAGAAAATAGTTGATAGAGAACACCTTTACCACCTTTTCAATCATCTTAGAGAGTGAAAATGATCTCTCATAGAGGTAACGTAAACTTGAACAGGGATATGACTTAACCTTAATAGGACAAATGGAATTACAGATGTGACACAAAAGGCTTTACTAAATTCAGAGCAAAGCTTTTAGTCTCTGGTTCCTCGGATGACAGGTGGAGGCAGCTGTGAGCTATTAAGGAAAAAGTCCCAGATCTGCTGACCCACTGCTGCTGTGACACACAATAACACTCAAACAGTTGGACTGAATGTGAGCAGCCGCCAACCAGCAGATTCTGTATTATTCATAAGGGAGTCCATTAGCCTTGGTGCAGTGGGGCAGGACAGATTTGGCAAAAGCGACACACCAGATGGAGCTCAATACCCAAACACCCCCCCTATCTACAACATTCATGAAGGGAAATGTACCAACAGAAACATGAATACGTATGGATCTTTATGAATACTTATAATGCTTTAATAATCTTCAGATCTGAAAACAAAATTTGTTAAAAATGCTCAGTTGGTCCACAAAACGAAAATATGACAACTCTCTGACCCCTACACTCACGCTTTAACCTTCTGCTCTCATGACACAAACAATAAGATATAAATAACATAAGCAGTCACTGTTTGAGATTCTTTCTGCATACAGTGCTCATACTTTCCCAAACTCTGGATTGTTGACAGACAAATGGATGAAAAAGTAATTGGATGATGGACCAATGGCTGGATGGACAAATAAACCTGAACTTCCTTATTAAAACAATTCAATCAGCAGATATAAGACCCCATTATTGGAGGGCAAAGCATTGGATACATTCTGGTTCTTAGATGCATGGTGAAGGAAAAAGATTCAAATGATTTCTCCTCCAGGGCACTTAATCCAAAAAAAATATAAAAAGCTGGCATTCATAAAACATTTAAAGATGTCATCCAATAAAATCCATTAAAGACAGCTTCATAAGAACAAGTTATTTCTATCTGCACATCCTCGCTGAAGGGAGAAAAACTAATGTAAACTCTACAAGGCCAAGGACTCAAATTACACGTTTGCCTTTAAAATTGTCCTTTACTCCTAACCTCATTTAGCCCTAACCCTCTGGGGGAGAAAGTCTCAGTAAAGAAGACAAGCAGCTGAGCAAACTGCAGAACAGTAAGGAGGAGTGGATACTGTAACCATAGAGCCGACAGCGCTAGTGAGTCTCCCCCCACTTCCCTGAGGATTGAACATTAATAATGGATGATCTGCTGCTGAAACTGAACTGAACATGGAGATCTAGGCAGAGGCACTTCAACACACTTAAATAAGTCTAAAAGGATGCACGTGTTGGGTCTGTGATCAAAGAGAGGCCATGTTAAAAATACATGCATTGTTGGAGATTGTTTTATAGCATGCAATCTCTCCTGGGACTCTAATATGTTTTTTTTCCCCTTGGAATTCTATCTGTGCCGCTTCTCCATCACTATTAAACCCCTTTTCTTTCAACCATTTCAAATAAAACATCACAGCCTCATCATCTCTCACCTGTGAGTGGACCGTGCTGTGGTCAGCATGGGATTCTCCACAGCCTACATACGCACAGCCATTCTAGAGAGGAAAAACACCAAAGTAAATTCACCTGAGAGGGAAAACGGTTGAATTATGTCGTTGAATTTTGTCATTTTATAACCACAAATATCCTTATTTGTAACTAATGTGACAGAGAAAAGTAAAGTAGAGAATAGTTGTGAGTGTGCATTTGTTTCCAGGCCCCTTACTAAGATGACATTAAATAAAATCAATTTCTCCCTGAAAAAAAAGTCAGTCCTAGGCATCGTCTTAAACATGCCGTCTCCATGGTGAAACATGGCAAAGGCACAATAATGCTGTGGAGATTATTTTCTTGACCAGAGATGGGGACATACTGGGAAAATGGGATGAGCTAAATTCTTGGAAATAATGTAAGAGTGCTGAAAAAGGTCTGAGATCCACAAGTAGAACCGCGGCTTTGTGCCAACTGAGGGTGCCAGGGCTGACTGAGGGGGGACTATAAATCAAGTCTGAAAAATGTTCATAGGGTATGAATACTTTAGAAAGGTACTGCATGCTAAGAGCAAGATCAACATTTTTCCCAGCAGGCATCACCTTACCTCTAAACAGGCCCACAGGTTTGGTCCCCGGACTTTACAGTCTTGACACTGGCCCTGCAAACGAAAAGGTCAAGTAATTAAATAAAAATAAGACTGTAAAATGCAGCTTCCTGCAGTTTGTATTTTACTCACATGGGATTTCTGAATAAGTTCCTCCTTGGTGATTTCCCCCACACAGTCCAGGTGGGGGCAGTCACAGCTGGACGCAGGCGGCATCCCTCATTGATAGGTCTGTGACAGAAACACACATTTAGGAAAGGTTTAATAAAAATCTGCTTTTGTTATTGTATGACTTCTTGTTGTTTTGTTGTTTTTCTGTTGAAGAGATGAAGCCTCCATCTGATAGCTGACAGAGTATAAAGGAAAACAACAGCAGCAGTGAGCTTGCTGTAAGCTGACACCTCCTCTTGCATGATAAGATTTTCCACACCTGCATGTATAAAAACATCCGACAACAAATTGATACATTGAGTAATGCCTCAAAAAGGGACAGAACAAATATTTTCAACATGCTGTCATGCCTAAATGAATGTCTTAATTTCATATAGAGACTCCAGTGGTAGACCTTATTTGCTTTTGAAGCATTCAAAGCTACAAGCCCAAGTGGCATAACAGGAACGGTGAGGCTGCAGAATGTAAATAACTTTTTTCCACGTTCCTGATCACTGTCAGCCATGTGAGCAGCTGCTTCCTCCAATCAGAGGAGAGGTTATAAAGTTATCATGAAGATAACAATACATCTTGCTTGAGCCCAAAGTGAGAGGAATGTTAAGGCGGGAGCAACAGAGTTTAGACGCCAAAGAACTTACCGGTAGTTATTGTTCAGATATAGCTTGTTTTAGCTGCACTTTGGAACCAGGTCAACTCCTATAAAGAATTATTGACATGAAAAATTATTCATGCAATTTATAATGTTCAATCATGAAATGAAAAGGATTTGAAAAAAATTGATTTGATATAAAAAAAAAAGTCTTCATTTTTAAGCCATATCGTCCGGCTCTACCTGCATCCTTATTATTATTGAGGCAGAATGTGAAAGGTCACAGTATGATAACTGATAATAAACAAACAAAAACAGATTGTTAACATGCGATAAAGATGTAGTGAACAGCTTTTTTCACAGTTTCCAGTTCATATTTATAAAAAAAATCAGGAAGTGAAACACGTGCAAATGAAAACTGGAATGTAATTTCTCTATACGAAAAAAAAAAAAAAACTAAAATTAATTGAACTACATCAAACTTTATTGTTTTCATACTGGAGAAATTTACCTCTGCATTTAACCCATCCCCTTGGGGAGCAGTAGGCTGCCATTCTGCAGCACCCAGGGAGCAGTCTGGGGCTAAAGGTCTTGCTCAGAGATCCAGAGTGCAGGCAGTGGGGATCGAACAAGGTACTAGCAACTTTCTTGGAGCACAAGTGCACTGCTCTAACCCACTAGGCCAACACTCCCCAACTTGCATGCATCTTTCAAGTACGGCGACCCGTCAGCTGTGTAGCAGCTTATTTAAAGGCACACTATGCAACATTTTTCAGTTAATTAATGTGTTCCATAACTTTATGGATGATTAAATTATTCATTTCAGGTTGAACAAAGGTATTCTCGGCCGCCCTGGTGGTCTGTGGGGGAAATACCGCACTTGCAATTGCAGGAGCACCGACCCGCACCCACAGGCTCAGAAGTCTCGTGAGAGTCAGTCTTGCTTTACGGCGAGAACTGCTACACGCCCCCAGTTAAAAGCATGCTCGTTGCTAGCACAGTGGCGATCCTTGTGCAGTTATGCTACGTTCACATCGGACGCAGCAAAATCGCGTCTGCTGCTTCATTTTTGCTGCTTGTACCAGTTAGTTCTGACGCGCGGCTGAAGCAGCTTTGCTGCTCTGGCTGCGCGGTGCAAAAGTGTGTCTGACGCGCGTTGGGCGGAGCTTCACTATCCTTTCTCTGCCTTGCAGCTATATTTGCTGTGATCAGTGGGAATAAAGTAGTTTTAATATGTGTTTAAGTGAGAAAATACACCTGAAAACGTAATCAGTGCAGTCAGTTCATTCAGATTATTATCCTGCCTTCAATATTTTTTCTGTCGGAGCCGCTCAGACCCCCACATACCAGCGGTGCGCCGACAGTAGGGATCCCTTCATCAGCAGCCTCTGGCCGGGTTGCCTCCTCGCGGTTCACCGCGGCAGCTGGTAGGTGTTTTTCATCTAAATAATCCAAACTGCATATTCTGCCGGCAGATTTCTGCATTTTAAGTTAATTTAGGCGTCAATAAACTGTTTAAGAGGAGAGATCATAGCCTCTGATCATCAGCGCTGTGTCTCTCTCCCTGCTTCAGCTGCTTAAACGCGCCCGACGCGCTGCTTCAGCTGCTCAGATGCGCTGCGCCTGCTGCTCAAAACGCCGCGGGACCTTTTGCTGCGCCTTGACGCGCGTCAACCATTGACTTTGCATGTAAACTCGCTGCTTCTGATGTCCAAGTCAATATGCAGGCCAATATGTTCTCTGCTCATCAACTCTATCTGTATGGTTTACATCATGCAGACAATCTCTGGCTTTTAAAAAGATACAAACTCAAACCACTGGCTAACTCACGTGGCCGGGTCAACAACACTTCACTGCAGTATCATTCTACCTTTCAACATGCACTTGCAATGAACTTTGGAAGCATGCGACTGAACACTCACATGTAATAAACTCAGCTGTAAACACATCAGAAAGGAGCACACGTGGGAAGCCTGCTTTAAAACAGATTTTATCCTCAAGCACCTATGGGGTGGAGGCATCCCCATCACAAACTTTTCTTTCAACATCTACAGAGGGGGCAGAAATTCCCAATACATTTAATATCAGCAGTGGAATATAATCAGCTACATTCAATGGAGTTCTTTACACCTTTCACGTAGACGTACTAGTAGATTTTCCCATCACATTGCTACGTTAATTCATGTGTTCAAAGGTGCAATATGCATCCAGGAATATGAATGAACAATATAGCACTGCTGCCCTCTATATTTCTCTATAGAAGGGTTATGCAGCCTTTAGAACCCAGAGTAATTTTATACATCAGTTCAGCTGATAAAACAGTAAGCATTATGTGGTAGTTTTTATGTTTTTTTCTTTTTGTTTTTTTTTTTTTAAGAAAAAGATATTTAATAATTACCACAGGAGATTTGGTTTTTGAAATAACCACTGTGAGATTTCAAATTTTAAGCTTTAAAATGAAGGAATAATTCGTAAAATAGAGTAAATTCACTAATAATAATGAATAATGTTATGTAAAACAGAAACAAAACTTAATAACTTTATAAAAATATATACATATGTCTCTGTTATACCAATGTTATACCAATTATTTTGGAAATCCTAATAATCAATGAAAAAAATGCAAAAATATGTATTTGTTAGTATACCTATATATCAAACAAAATCAGTTGGCTCTTTATCATTTTAGCCAAAGTGATGAGGAGCCATGTCTGAGTGTCTAACGGGCCACTATATAAAAACTCAGCCTTCTGTCACCTAGATCATCTCCAGGATTAAAGAACAAAAGTCTCAGCAGGACCTTGAAACATTAGTTAAAGCATTCATCTTTACTAGAATTGATCCACTGCAACAATGTCTTCACAAGAGTATCAAAAAAGTCAACAGACAGCTGCAGTTGGTCCAGAGTGCTACTGCCTGCATCCCACTAAAACTAAGATATTGGAGCACATTACCCCAGGTCTATAGTGGTAACATTGGCTCCCCATTACCTCAGAGAATATACTTTAAAATACTTCTCTTAGTCTTCCCAGTCCTCTCGGGTCTGCGTTTAAAATCTGCTCTGCATAACCAGAACAAGAACTAAGCATGGAGAAGCAGCTTTTAGTTCTTAAATTGCTTTGATTTAGGATTAAAAATATATCTAGTGGTCTTTGCCTGAGCTGTCTAAACATAATAAGTTTACTTTTCAATCCAATTTCTTTTCTTTTTTTTAATCAACCATTTTATTTTAATATAATCATCTTATTTTTATTAATAATTCATATTCTTTTTAATGATTGTTGTTCCATTTATGCAACTGCCTTGAAATTTGCATTTTCTTCTCCTGTACTGTGCTTCGAAATGTGCAATAGAAATCAAATTGTCTTGCCTAAATATATGTAATCAAATTTCTCATCTTCCATTTATCCACATCCAATGAGGTAAAATAATTGAGGAAACATGTATGGCATTATTCATATGACAGTAGCTTCAGATATTTCTGATAGTTGTGGGTAGATTTATTATTAGAATAACTGTAAATCCTCATGGGTGGGATTTTAAGGATCAATATCTATATCCACGCGCAGAAAAGCTATGTAAAAACCTTCACATCATTTGGATTTCACAACAATAAAACTGGGACCATGTCTTTGGTAAAAGCTGGAAGTATTTTAAACTATCTGAGTCCTTTTTCAGAAAATGTACAAAACAAAATCTAAAACAAAAGATTTTTTTCCACACTGATTTTTTTAAATATCCCTAATTCTGGTATAGTTTTTTTTTTTTTTGCCAACTGCAGTAATGATTGGTGATGAATCGAATAAATCTGGCTAGATTTACCTTTTTTTAAATGGGTAGATACAAGGACCCATTCGAATCACTTGCACTGACTAAAATATCTTACAATATGAAGTTAAGGGGTTGGTGGAAAATCTTCTGCATCACTCAACACCATCTAAAGCCAAATCAGTGATTAAAATGACAAATTCCTAGAACTAAAATCAACAACTTGTTCTTAAAATTTTAAAAAGTATTGTTTCAATGACAGAACATCGTACTAGTAGTGCCTGCATCCCCCAGTCTGTCATCATTTAAGGAGAGTTCAGCGAGAGGCCCAACAGGATACCAGTGAATCCAGATTAACCTTAAATGCAAAATTAATCCCCCTCTGCAAAAATGTGTTTGAACTGAAATATCAGGTGTTCCTCTCTTATTAGTAAGTGAATCAATGTGAAGTGCGGCAATTTCTTTAGATAGGTTTGCTTTGCCTCTAAAAAACTTGTTTTATAGCATACTTACTGCACGGTGAATACAAATACATCACCAAACTTGATATATTTCTATCCCCAAAAAAAAAAAATGGCAATTTGGTCTACATGATGATTCATCTTCTTCACATCTAAAGACTTGATTTTGTTTTATGCAGCAATATTTACCATGGATCATGGACACTTTTCTTCATGAAAATACAACCTTGAAACAAATAACTGCTTTAAACATTTTACAGTGCATGAATAAAAATATATATATATCATGTCAAAATAATGCAGTTAAAAACAAAAGTGGCTGCCTATGAAAAAAAAGATGTCAGCGAGAACTTTGATTGTGCTTAGAGCAGCAGTATGAGATCGTGTCACACAACAGTGCCATAATTGTTTACATGGTCAATCATGACCATAAGTTGACCAGGAGGAAACTCTAAGATTCAATCTTTTGATCAGTGATAGAACCTAATGGAAGGATATAACATTTCAAGACTCTCTGAGGATGATTCAAAAAGAAAAGCATCCAAAAGAGTCATAGATAGATAGATAGATAGATAGATAGATAGATAGATAGATAGATAGATAGATAGATAGATAGATAGATAGATAGATAGATAGATAGATAGATAGAATGTTCATTTTGATCTCTTTCCGTAGTAATCATTTATCCCTGTTTTGATACATTCAGGCATCTTAAAATTCCCAAAATTAGGATCTTAAAGTGCTTCATATTAAAATGAGCTTGGATGCCCGTAGGGTGTTAATCCTACTTGGATATGTAGGGTGGGGCCCCACAGACAATTAAACCATTGCAAAGCAAAACCAGTGCTCGGTGACAATGTATAAAGCTGCAATATCCTATTAATTGCAGGTTAGTTGTCATTCGCAAACTATATAAAGATGTTAAAAATGCTAATCTCCAGAGATGGTTTAGCGTAGCAAAGAGCAGACACACAACAGGTTAACAAAAAACCATTGTGCTGAAAACGTGACGTCGGCGTCGCTTACCTGAAAGCCAATAAGAAAATATTCAAAGAATTTTATGCAATTCAGAATATTATCTTTATTTTTTCCGCGCTGGGTATCAATAAGGGAGATTGTTTGCTTGTTTTTTAATACAATAAGATAGCAGAAGTGTGCGGTTATGGCCTGGTCCGCTATCCCTCACAGTGAGCTGTCAAAATCAGGCGAGGCTTCGCTGTTAGCATTATTAGCCCGCTAGCAGCGACCGATTCACTTTACAGCAGTTATCATTTCAACTGAGTCATCCCATTATCATTAGCCTTAAAACAGTAGGTAAATATATTCTTGCTGAAACAAAAACAGAAAGCTTTAGTTTTAAGCGCTTCCTTACTGATAACCATCTCGCTACGGACATGCTAACCAATTAGCCAGCTAAGGTTACTGACGATCAGGGACGAACCAACTGGTGAGTCTTTTGCTAGAAACAAAAACAAGAGGATTCTCATTGCTTACCAGCTCTATATTAAGACGCGTTTCTTCTCGGGTGATTCCAACTCCTCTTGGTCTCTCAGATAAATATCGGTTGTGTATTAACAGACATTTTCTCAGAGGGCAATCCTTCACTGAAACGATAACGCTTCCCCCCTCTGTCAGTCTCTCAGCGTGGTTGCTAACGTTACAGCTGACCCCGCCCCTTTTCGTCACAGGACACGATGGTCACACGATTTAGTGTAACACCGGTGTTAAGAAATACATAAATCCTCCCCTTTCTTCTTCACAACATCAAATCATTTGTATGTTCTTTGGGTAAATATAGGTTTGTCCTTCATTTACCCAGGATTGGTAACTAATGCAGTTATTCTTGTCAATCAAAAATGTTTTTCTTTATTTATAAATACATATTTAGAAAATGTATATATATATATATATATATATATATATATATATATATATATATATATATATATATATATATATATATATATATATATATATATATATATATATATATATATATATATATTAGTGCAGCATTCTGACATGCATTTTACATTCCTGCTTAGCACTGTGAAGCCTACTAAGGTATTGTGAGTGGTCAGTTGACAGGACAGAGCAAACACACCAAAACACACAGAAGCATTAATCTACTAGAACCTATTCTTACTGAAAAGTAAATGATGGTTCATAGTTAGTAAGTTAATGGTAAGCTCTCAGGTACACTATCTTTAGCATGAAAAACAGAACCCATATAGGATTTTTGTTTTATATATATATATATATATATATATATATATATATATATATATATATATATATACATATATATATATGCAAAGTTATTTGTAGCAACAGCTATACAGAGAATTCCTAGAGAGAAACACAGCTAAGCATAGAAAAAAACAGACCAAAAGTAGCTCACCAAATGTAGAGTAAATAACCTAGAGGGACAATAATGTTAAAATTTCATTAAATATCAAAACAGTCAGAAATAACTGAAGACAGTTTCAAAATGGAGATGTGTTGAAGTCTGTACTCCAGCCTTTAGGTGCAAAACAGGTAGGGTCGCCATTTTCTTCTTACTTTTTTCTTTTTTGTAATTGTATTTTGCCTATGTTAAAAACAAATTTTTAACTTGTTTAACATCATAAGGTTAGACTTAAGATTTTTTTTTTTTACTTTGATAAACATCAATTAGAACAACATATGTTTTCTTTAGGGATACATTTTTATATAGTATTGGTCTGTAAATAAATGTAACTTTTACGGTTGTGTGTAAAACCAAGTATAAATGTGAAACAACGCATAAATGTAATAAAAAGTATTTGCCTTTAGGGAAGCAGGTCTAACTTATACAGTAATGTAACCCATCAACTTCTGAGTCATTTAGCACTTAGACATGGTGCAATTCTACATGGTATTGGAAGAGGGTCCCAAAACACTACTTAAAAAAGCATATATAAGAACGTGCTTTTGTTTTCACAGCAGAAATGGTGGCAATAACACTAAGCTTACAAAGGGTAGAGGAGGTTAGACCAGACAGGGTGGTGGTATGCACACATTCCAAAGCAGTTTTAGAAACTATTCGGGGAGAAGGAAATAATTGAAAAGATTCAGAATTAGAAATCCAGCACAGTCTATTTAGATTATATAGGGGTGGACCTGATATTTGGTTATATTGGGTTCCATCACATGAAGCTGTAAAAGGCAATGAAAAAGCGGATATATTAGCAAAAAAGGGCTTTAGAGGGAACAATAACAATTAGAAAAGATAAGAAAGGAAGAGGATTAAATAAGGTACAAAAATCAGCATTAAATAGAATCATTAATGAGAGAAACAGAAGAGAAGAAGTAATTATCACCAGATTAAGAGTGGGTCATACCTATTTTAATGACAATTTATATTTAATAGGAAGGAAAATAATAATAAATGTGAAGGATGTTGAAAAAAAGAAAATGTAGAACATGTCCTGATGAAGAAACTTATGAACCTGAAAGGGAGAAATTGAGAAGGATGCTTGGAAGGACAGGCAAAGAATGGAGTCTTAAAGGAATATTGGGAAATGAAGGAAAATGAAGGAAAAATAAAAGGATATACACAGATTAAGGAAAGCATTATGTATTTATCTACAGAATACAAAATAAAAAAAATAGAATTTCAATGTAAAGTAATGTTGCTACACACTCATGTACAGTAGGTGGCGGTATGCACCTTAAAGTTACTTGCGATCCGCCATAATAGAAAAGAGGAAGAAGAGCGTGCTTTTATTTTGAAGGACAACCTGCAGTTGGAGAGCGTTACGTCACGTGCGGCGCAAGTCCTTCACCCGTCTTGTTGCTGAGGTCAGCCGCAGGAGCGGATAAGCAACCAGGAAAGGGAGCGGAGCTTGTGGAGGAAACCAGATAATGTACCGGTGATATTTGTTTGACTCTTCCCGTTTTCATACAGGAGTTAGAAAATATTTATTCAGTGTTACGGTTTATTTTTTGCCAGTTTAAATAATTTAGCTATCATGCTGTCTGAGTTAGCCTCTAGCTACCATCATTGCTGAAACATGTGCTAATGTAATTATCAGCGGAAGAATATCAATGTCACCAGCGAGCCTTTGTGTTTGAAATGTGCTTAAAATATTTAAAAGAACAGTGTAGCTTATTAGATGCAAGTTTTAAGTTTTACGAAAACCAATTAATGTTTGTTATGATCTGGTGGTAATAGTGAATGAAATCATAAGAGAATTTTTTTAAAGTTTTTAAACCAATGCTAGTGACAACACCAAACTAAAATAAAGGTTAGAATAAACCATAATAGCAGAATTAGCAAAGAAATTAAATATTGCCAGAAAAACGTATGAAAATAATAAATAGGATCTTTAATCACGAGCTTATTTATTTCTTCTTTCATTCTTTTAATGGAACCAGATATAGAATTTCTACGAGATTTAAAATAGACTGTGAATTTTTTACATCAATGTTTGTTGTAGCTAATTTTTTTTAACTATAATTCATGTGACAATTTAAGATTATTTATAAGCCAAAATTCCAAAATAAAAACAAGCAGATTTCCTTAACAAATTGTATGAATCTTGTGGATGATGCCTTTCAGGTTTTAGTATTTTATTGCAACTGTTATTTAAACATCTAATAGTGTCATATTGGTTCATGTCTATAAAACAGAGGGGGGTATGTTGGAATAATTTCTCAGCAATTTATAAGTGATACAGTTCACCTTATGAATTTATGACTTATGCTAAAAAGTTAGAATCAAATGGGTAATAGAGCCATGTGGTCTAGCCAGGAGTTTCTCAAATCTAATTAGATCTTGCATACTTTACTGATCCCATCATGTAAGCCAGTTCTTATTACACGTTATACTTTGTTTGCTTTGAGTTGATACTGTAAAGATAAAATGAAAATGTTGTGATTATTTAAGTTATCATTCATGATTTCCTTTCATGTAATTGTTAAAAAATGTGTTCATGTTATCGAAATGTTTTGTAATGTTAACCGTTTGCACTTAAAACTGATCCCAGTTCAGGCTTCCTTTGGAATTTGCACGTACTGAACCTCTGAGGCTTTACATAACGGCATCTTTATACCCCCTGAGTTGTCTGAGGTTAAATCTCCGCTGCTGTCGTCCTCAGCGGCTCCGGTGGAATGACGGTGAACATCGACTCGTTGCCAAGTCATGGATAAAGTGCTGCCAAAATGACACAGGAAACCCTGACAAGCTCCCTGCTGTCCATCAAAGCCGCTGCTCTGCGCATGGTTGACCTCCCAGTGTCCGTCTACAGCTCCCTGACACAGGTGAGCATGAGTGTTCATGTGTTTATTTATTGGTAGAGATCACTATGACTGTATTCTTTAAACTTTTAGTGAACACATTTTTAGAAACATAGCTGCACCTTCATGAACCAAATTACACATAACAATTTATATATTTGTCAATCAATATACTCAATCAATGCGTTTTTGCACTATGTTTTTTTTTCTCCCACACTGTTTACATTTCATCACTGTTGCACTTTAAGGAATGGAAATCTTTATTTTACTGCCAAGCTGCTGCTCATGCACTATCTGAAAGCTGTATACAAAATGACAATAAAAGTTGTCTAAGTCTAAATTGCAGAGTTTAATAAGACAGAATAGAAATGCATCAATTAGACAAAGAAAAATCAGATTTACCTCTCACTGGCTCAGATTTGAGATCAGACAAAAAGAAAAATCATATAGTTTTTATAAACTGTTTATTTAATGCATCAAAACTAAGAACACTTACAATTTCATAAATTAAAGACATAAATTTAGAATTAGAATAAGGAAGACATGTAAATGAAATTTGTAAATGAAAGTGACTTCATTATTAAGGGTTGTTTTTTTTCATCTCTTAATAGTTTAACTTTCACATTGCTTTTGTTTATATGTTTCAGGTGAGGAAAAATCCTCTATTTTCTTTTAGTCACCATTTTATTTCTGTGTTTATCCAAGGGGCAGGACTATTTGTTTGATGTAGGTCATGAAGCTGGTCTAATATGATTAGGGCAGTCTGGTTGGAGCAGGTCTTAAAAGTGCAGAGCTCCACCACTAATAAAGCAATCAGTCTATTATAAAGGACACTAAAACGCATGTTCTTTATCATGTTTGAGCCTATTTAAGCTTAATTCTTTATAATATTTAGAAGCACAGTCTCTGCCCAGCCATCTCACTCTGTGTTTAAATACACATTCAGAAGGTTTTTCAGGCTTTCTAAAAATTATATAAGAAAGGTTTAATGATTTCCATAGTTACGAAGCTCTTATTGAAAGTATTCTGGGATTATCAGTCAGTAAAAATTGGTGATAGAAGATGTAGAGCATCGTGGTTTGCATTTAACATCAGCACAGACTTTGGTAATTAGGAGGGGAAAAAAGCTGCAGTGTCTGGTTTGAAAGAAGGGAGAGCTTTCATTCGTCAGATAGAAGCTCTTTTCCTTTGCATTAAATAAGATCAACACATAGCACTGCACCAACATTCAGCATCATACTTCTTTCAATGCTTTGATTGTTTAAACCGCTGGACACTTTGTCCCATAAGTGACTGGGAGGTAAATTAGTTTGTGAATCGTGTTAGTATGTAGCTGATAGTTCTTTGAGTAGACAGCCTTTTTATCTGCTTCTTCGTTTGTAGTTTAATTTCTATAAATCAACTGTTTTGTTTTTTTTTTATGGTAAATATTTGGTTAATGTTTTAGAAATGGATAGTTTTATTATATGGTTCTGGTTTTGCAGATTCAACACTTAAAGCGGACTTCCCCTGTAGAAATATATATATTATAATTTTTGCATTAATAGGGATATTTGAGTGTAAAGATTTTTTCTCTAAAATATTATCTCAACATAATATATATAGGATATGATAAGTTTCCTGTTGAGTCATAAATACATTTTCAAGTTTTAAAACTTGTGCTTTTTGAATTCTAAATACTAAACGGGTTTAAATGTACAATTTTAAAATGTAGTTATAAATGACTTTGGGCCAAATCTCAATGTTTTAAGAACAAGAACCTGTTAGCGATGTTAGCATTAGCATGCTGAAGCCAAAATCCTAACCACTGTAATTTTAATGGTGTGTATATATACATATATAATTAATTGTTAAGGGTTTCTGTCCTCCAGGTGAGCGTCAGCGCCGGCACCAAGAAGCTGGTGGCGGCCACAACCTTGGGTACCATCTCACTCCTCTTCCTCGCTCGCCGCTTTAAAAGGAGGAAGGGCAAAAAGAAGGGTCAGTGGGACCAGGCTGCTTTTGAGTTGGTCTCCCCAGCTGCTGCAGAAAACGGTGAGCTTTCCTGACGCTGCAGCATATTCCTGTTGACTCTGAGGCTCCTCTTAGTACATAAAGCCATTTCCTGGTTTCTGCAACGTTTCATGAGCGCAGTTAAAGGCTCGAGTCTTTTGTGTAATTTTTCCTCACTTCTTCACACTTAAAGTTGTCTACTTCAACCAAATCCTTTAAATCTAAAGATTGTCTGATTTAAAAAGCCAATTTCTCTGTTTAGTCAGTAACATCTTTTTCTGTTTAAACTTTATCTCCTTAGATAACACCAGCCAAGACATCAGTGTCTCCTTCAACTCCAAGAATGGCAGCTCAGCTGGTTCTGGGCTGGTTCTCACCACCAGAGACTACAGTAAACTATCCGGGTCTATGACGAGCCTGGCTTCGGTAAACCTCCCGTCATTTTACATGAACAAAACCAGATTCACTTCTCTGGATTTTAAAACAGGAATCCCTACAAGTATTTCCTATTACTGTGTGAAATTCTGTAATTGTTTGAGGGGTAAGCGTCCTCTTTGTGTCACAAGGTAAAAAGTGTGAACTCGTCCAGCAGCAGCACCTGTGCAAATGAATCCATCAGTTGGGAAGGAGGGAGGGATGCTGATGTGTGCAGCGTGGTCAACTTGTCTGTTACTACACCTGAAAATCTCTACCTTATGGGTGAGGACACGCTGCCATTTAATCATGAGCTTTTAATTTGTCATAACAGTAGACCGCCTGATGTTAGAGCGTGTGTATTCTCTCCCAGGCATGGATTTATTTGAGGAGGCGCTGCAGCACTGGGAGGAGGCGCTGACGTTCAGGAGCAGACAGGGGGACGAAGACACCATCTGCACTTCTGTCAAAACAGGAGCCGGAGATGCAATTGCTGAACAGAGCATGGAGGTAAATCACATTGAACACGTGTTCCTGTGGCACCAGAGCATATTTCTCAGTTGTTGTGGACAAATAGAGCTTCTCTTTAAAGAAGCACCAACTTAAATTAATTTCTTTAGTTGTTAACAAGTAATTGAATCAAGTTGATCCAAACTTAAATCATAAATTAAGTTGAAAAGTAAATTACTTTGGGCAAACTTAATTCCATTACTTGTCACCAATTATAGCCATTCATTTAAACTGGAGCTGCATTTTCTTTTTACTGTATCTGTTGTTAGGGTTTGTTTGATTCGTTAATGAATGGTGTTTTTTTTTTCCCCTCAGAATTATGTGACATTTTCCATCTATATGTAAATTTTACCATGTAAATGGAGGAAGAAAAAGCAATATCGGCTTAAAGGGGTCATAGAATACAAAACTGAGTTTACATTGTCATAGATGAATAACAATAGTTCAGTCTGTGAAATGGACGTACTGAGAAGTTCAAACCCATCAACACCTCCTTTCTCTGCAAATCTCACAATTCTAAACTTCCACCAAAAAACGGGCGAATTCAGACGAAGCGCCGAATTGATGCTAACTCGGGGATGTTGCCTTATTTGGTTCTGGCCTGTACTTTTGTCACACACTGAAATTGACATACAGACCAGCCCACTGGTTCACCATCGTAAATGCAGTGTTCCAGGCTGCACGGAGAAAGGGGGAAAATTTTCAGTCTTCACAAGGATCCGAAGACTGGACAGGCATGGATTATTTTTGTCTATCAGAAGATTCCTGCAAGGTTTGGGTGAAGGCTGCTGGGCTCCTGACTGGCATTCAAACCGAGCCGTGAGCTCAGGGGCTGGTCTGGGAACCCCGGCGGCCGGGGACAGAGTGACCGAACACGACCCAGTGATGGTATCCTTCCGCCCGCCTGCCTTACCGTGCTTCCCCCTGCCCACGGGGTTGTGGCTTCCGGAGCTGACAGCTTGGTTCTGCTGCACTGTATTCGACCAAAATCCCGGATGATTTTGAAATTCCCCCGGGACATTTTTTTAGGTATGAAAAGTAGGATATGTCTGGGAAAAGAAGGACCTCTGGTCACCCTACCATATCAACAATTTGATGTTTCAGTGAGTGAGTGCTTGTTGCTATGATGCGTCTTTGCTCAGCAGCTTCTCTCATTGTCAACCAACCAATCAGCGCACCGCTCATCTAAATATTCATGAGCATACCATAAAAGGAAGAAAACCTGTCGTTTCATTCTGGGGCTTTTAACCAGGCTTGCATTAGGGCTCATAAAACAGCAAATATGCAATTTTCAGCCCAACCAATTAGGGCTGCAACTAACGATTATTTTAAAAATCGATGAATCGGACGATTATTTTTTCGATTAATCGATGAATCGGACAAAAAATATTTTTTATATTAACCTCTTTATTCCAAAATAAACATTATAGACAGAACAAACAAGCACACAAGTACAGGTTGCTCATTAACTGTACTGGTGCAATATGAAAAATAAATGTTTGTGTTAAAACTACGCAAAGAAAATGAGAAATGTAGCTGTACATCCACAAAATATAGGGTACTTTGTTTCATAAAGCGCAAAAAAATACATTTTTGTTTTTAAAAGCCTCTAAGGGGTTCAAACAATAGGCCCCCCCATTTCAACAAATACGTTTTTTTTAGACTAGAAGAGTTCTGCCTTTTAAGACAGGAAAGTACAGCAGTTAAAGTTGCTACTTGAGAAAATACTGAACCATAGAGATAAAAATAGCCCTGTGATTCAAATTATAAATTGCATTTGGAATAAAAATGAGAGAACTAGGGGTGCTAAAAAACACATCCTCCAAAGACAGATATTTACATGGGAATGTGGCAGATAATTAATTGACATATTACTGATCTTGCTGGATTTTATTCTGCTTTACTTCTATAAATTGCAGGATCATCTTTACTTTATCTTTGCCAGAAGATTTAAACTTTAAAAGTCTTGCCCTCATAATTTGCAAGTTAATTTATTTATAAAGTAAATATAAACGCTGCTTAAGCTAATTCAAATGAAATTAAAAGTAAAATAAGTAGCCAACCTTATCACTGTCTGTAACCTACTAACACGGTAAGGAAAGCATCAGATGAGCTACCTGAGAAACTAACGTTACGTTTCCCCACTTTAAAACCAAACAAACATGGTGGTTCCGTGCCATGTTAATTTCTTTTGAAAAAAGTTGCATGTTATCACTTTTTTCGCTTTACAAAGCGCAGGCTATTTTAATTATTGTGATCAATTTGCGCCGTCAATCCCGGTGCATGCGCGCTTCATTTGCAGTCTGGACGCTGAGGCTGACTGCTGCTCTGAGAGGGACTCCTGCGGGAAAACGCGGTTGGGGTGGGGGAGGCGCCCCACGGCAGAGTAGGAACGATACATGCTTTCACGTAAGAGTCTCCAAAAGCCGCCAGTGACACCGAAAAAAGTCGCCAGATTTGTCGCTAGTCGCTTTTTTGAAAAATAGTCGCTGGAGGGGTCTGAAAAGTCGCTGAGTTGGCAACACTGCACCTGCGGCGCTGACTCGCTCTGCCGTATTTTTTTTTCTTCCTCTTTCAGTCAAGAGGCAGTGATGACGGCGCAGCGGATGACGCAATAATCGCGCGACACAACTAATCGATGATGAAATTCGTTGCCAACGCTTTTAAAAGTCGATTTTTATCGATTTTATCGATTCGTTGTTGCAGCCCTACAACCAATGTTACACGTCCTTTTCAGAGACCTTAATGATCAGCACCAAATACCCTATATAATCATTCTATCACCCCCTTAAAAATTAGTCCAAAACTATCAACATCACGCATAGAATCAGTTAGACTGGGGTTGTTAACACATTTTAATTTCAAACTTAACATTGACACCCAGGAGAGTACTTAATACTCGATAACATTGGAATAAAAATATGACAAATGAAAGGGATAAAAAAATACACAAAAAAAACTCTTTTTTTCAACATGGCATATACATTCTCTGCAGATTCAAATGTGCAAATAAATGCAAAATAGTTAACCTAAATATAACACAATTTGGTTTTATTTTAAGGTCATCTGAAGAATTATTCTTTTAACGTGTAAAGAAGACTCGCATCTAAATTTAAGAATGCCAAAAATGTGCAAAGAAACCCTTGACTCTAGTATCAGTACCATACCAAATACATATCCAGATAGGCTGTATTAGAATTTATGCTTTTTGGAGAATCAATATTGTTGACAACCTTAGATTAGACTGAGCTTTATAGAAGCTGTATGGGTCGATCGGTAGTAAAGGACTTAAAAACATTTCTGAGGCTATCAAGTCTTAGGTTAAATAAAGAGGGTGGATATTAGGACAGTGCTCAGCCAGTTCCTGTCTGCATCGTTAACGATTGACTGTGCCTCTCCTCTGTTCAGGACGTCATCAGCGCAGAGTTTATCCTCAGGCTGAAGTCTCTGCTGCAGCGGGCTTATCGCCTGCAGGAGGAGTTTGAGGGAGTGCTAGGGATGTCGGAGCCTTCGTCCCACAGCAGCAGCCAGGGTGAGTCACATATGCAGCTGTGTCATTCTTCACAGAGCAAAGCTGTAGTCCTTGTCTGTCTCATCCAAAGGCTGTCTGAACTCTGCAGGGTTAATCTGAAATATGTATTCAGCTCTAAATGCAGTGGGTTTGCTTTTTCAATTTGTCATTTAAAGTTGTTTGTTTATCAATCTGTCCATTAGTTTATTTTTAAATCTATTTTCTAGTTTTTTATATATATATATATATATATATATATATATATATATATCCCGTTTCTTTAATCCATTAGTTTGTCTATCATCCTTCTTTGTCAGTTTATTAATCTCTCCTTTCCTGCCCCAACAATCTGCTCATCCATTTTTGTCCATCTTTCTGTTCATCCATTTATCTTTTCATGTCAATGTCTATAAAACTGTTATAAATTTGCTTATTTTGCCAGCATAGATTCAGAATTTGTCTAGAATTTAAAAATGAATGTGTAGAAGTCACATTTGCAGAAATGAACTCCATGTTTCATGTTAGAGGGTTTTTATCTCCACTTTTTGATCAGTTTGATGCAGAAAAAGTCAAGTAAGGAAATGAAGTGCAGAGAACAAATACAGTGTGATATATCTCCCTGCATTTACAGATTCTATATGCAAAGAAACTCAGTTTAGCGCCATATGCCAATACTGGAAACGCCTCAAACTCACGAGTTTTGTGAATGTTTTTATGCCCCCCAACCCAACAGATCAAATGGCGGACCTTCTGGCCAGAGAGGACCTGGACGACGTCTGTCTTAGAGACAGCCTCAGCATCGCTTCAAATGACTCTTTTGTGTCTGCAGCCGAGGTAGGAAACACAAAACATTTCTCTGCAGACTCTCTGATTGGAGTAAAGATTTTAGATTCTTCTTCATTTAAAGGTGCAGTAGGAGATCTTTTCTAACACATTTTTTACCATGTGGCTTAAAGATCTCCCCACAGCAGTGAAATAGAACGTCTGCAGGTGAAACTAAAATAAATAATCAATGACTAACCTCAACCAATCACAAAAGACTGTCCGTTGTACAGGATTGGTTCCTAACACGTCAATCATGGACGTCTTCTTGTCCCTCGCCCCTGTGCGTGTACCCTGACACGTGAACGAATCGACCCCCCAATGCTCGTGCAGGACCCCGTCGCTCTGTCTCCAGCCCCGGAGCTCACAGCTCGGTTCTGCTGCACTGTAGTCGACCAAAATCCTGGATGAATTTGAAATTCCCTTGGACATTTTTTATTTGGTGTGAAAAGTAGTACATTTCCAGGAAAAAGAAGACATCTGGTCATCCTATTCACACCTAAAGCAGCAAGCGCAGCAAAAACGGGCTTGCTGCTTCATTTTTTATGCTTGTACACGCGCTGCTGAAGCATCTTTGCTGCTTTGGCTACACGATGGAAAAAGTGGGTGTGATGCGCGTTGGGCAGAGCTACCCTATCCTTTCTTTGCCTGGAACAATAGCAGCTATATTTGCTGTGATCGGTCTGTAAAAAGTAGTTTGAATCTATTTGTACTGCCTTCAAATATTATATCTCAGACCCCCGTAGACGGGCGGTGTGTTGTCACTAGGAATCCCATTCAACAGCAGCCTAAGGCCCGGTCGCCTCCTCGCGGCTGGCCGTGGCGGCTGGAAAGCCTTTTTTATGTCCGTAATCCAAGCTTGTTGGAACCGTTTTTTCCAAGATCACCTACGGCACCTTTCATGGGAGTTTTTGTAATTTTTTTTACTGTGAATGTTATTAATGGCGCTCCATTAAACCAGATCTTATTCTTTTAAAACAGTTTTGGACTTTAATATCTCACTTATCAAGTTTTATTTTATTTTTATTGTACATGAGCTTTTGTTTCTGATTGATGCATCTAATGGCATCGAAACGAGGAATTCCAGTAAACATGGAAAACGTCTAAAAGCGTCTTTAACCTTGTAGCAACGACTGATCTGCAGCATGAGGTTGACTGGAATAGCTGCAGCTTCACCACCTGCTGATAACCAGAAACTGGTTTATCTTCTTTTCTCATTAACTCTCCGTAGGGGCGTGAGCTTAGCATCCGGTGCTATTGTTGGCCTTGAACCACAGAGTGCAGAAATAAACTGCTTGTTAGGAATAATTATCTTGAAGAGATTCTAGTTTGGATTTTTTATTTTTATTAGGTAAAGGGTTCAGAGGAGGGTTTTAAATGTTTGACAAAGAATCTTAGTGGACATGGGCTTATATAAAAAACCTAAAATACCTGTGGCACCTTAAGTACTGGAGCAGACTGTGAGGAAATGATTGTAAAGAAATAGAATATGATTCTGGCATTGTTTATGTGGTATATTCATCCCATTTCTGTTTTGTGAAGAAGCTTTAAGTGCCTCATTTTCCTTTACCTTTACAAACCGTATTGTTTTTTTTTACTGGATTTCTTGGATTGGGGAAGTCTTTGTGAACTTGAGTTTTTAGCCCTTTTAGCAGTCACTCTGAGCCTCAACCCTGATGTCGTCTATTATCACATTTTAGTGGTGTATCAAGCTCTGTGATGTCTGTTTTAAGGTGTATCCCTTTGTCAATTTTGTTTCCAGTGTTTACTGTCAATAAAGCGGATGGAGATAAATACAATTTTTTAATGAGGAATACTTTACAGCAGATGTATTAAGTTTTTTACATTCCTCTAAGCAACAAAGACTATGCTAATATTTTACCCGAAGACCACAGTTTAATGCATTTGGATGTTGGGCATCAGCAATATTTATTTTCTCTGTGAAAAGTTGATAAACCTGGAGAATTTTAACATGCCTAGAAAATGTTATTTTTACCTTTACAGCATCTAAAATGGAAACTGTTTCTGTTTGGCTCAGATGTCGGAGCACAGAGATCTAAGGAGCACTTTTCCTCTGGGACATCATCCGTTTTACGAGGAGGCGCTGCAGATGGCCGAGGAGGGCAAGATTTCCTGCAGGGTGCTTCGGTAAGAATCCTCAGGAACTCCGGTTAGAGGGAACATTATCAGCCTCAGAGCCTGTCTGGGATGCTGTTTTAGATTGGTGTTAAGATGTTCCACACTTTAGAGGAAGTGGTTCAAAGCTCAGCTGAAAATAGTTTGGAACTTTCAGTTAAATCCCTGAAAAAGTGAGAGAGGCCATGAAAAACCCAGAAAGAAAGAGTTCTAGCTGGATATTTCAGCCTTTCCCCTTCTAAATCCAGCTTATTCAGCTTTCTTTGGAATTTATAATCCAAACTTTCTGGTTGTTTGATCAAAGGATTGTTCTATTGTGTTTGTGTATTTTTTATATTTGGCTGTCAGAAATCCTTGTTTTTAAAAGTAAACGGATATCAGTTTGATCGACGTGGGAGACAACATGTACAGGTGCTGGTCATAAAATTAGAATATCATGAAAAAGTAGATTGATTTCAGTAATTCCATTTAAAAAGTGAAACTTGTATATTATATTCATACATTACATACAAACTCATATATTTCAGATGTTTATTTTGTTTAATTTTGATGATTACAAATGACAACAAATGAAAATCTCAAATTCATCATATCAGAAAATTAGAATATTACTGAAGACCAATAAAAACAAATGATTTATAGAAATGTTGGCCAACTGAAAAGTATGAACATGAAAAGTATGAGCATGTACAGCACTCAGTATTTAGTTGGGCCTCCTTTGGCCTGTATTACTGCAGCAATGCGGCGTGGCATGGAGTCGATCAGTCTGTGGCACTGCTCAGGTGTTATGATAGCCCAGGTTGCTCTAATAGTGGCTTTTAGCTCTTCTGAATTGTTGGGTCTGGTGTATTGCATCTTCTTCTTCACAATACCCCATAGATTTTCTATGGGGTTAAGGTCAGGAGAGTTTGCTGGCCAATTAAGAACAGGGATACCATGGTCCTTCAACCAGGTACTGGTAGCTTTGGCACTGTGTGCAGGTGCCAAGTCCTGTTGGAAAATGAAATCTGCATCTCCAAAAAGTTGGTCAGCTGCAGGAAGCATGAAGTGCTCTAAAACTTCCTGGTATGTGGCTGCGTTGACCCTGGACCTCAGAAAACACAACGGACCAACACCAGCAGATGACATGGCACCCCAAACCATCACTGACTGTGGAAACTTTACACTGGACTTCAAGCAACGTGGATGAAGTGCGACAGCAGAAACCCATGTCTTTCATACGTCTGTGTGTGGTGGTTCTTGAAGCACTCACTCCAGCTGCAGTCCACTCTTTGTGAATCTCCCCCACATTTTTGAATGGGTTTTGTTTCACAATCCTCTCCAGGGTGCGGTTATCTCTCTTGCTTGTACACTTTTTTCGACCACATCTTTTCCTTCCCTTCGCCTCTCTATTAATGTGCTTGGACACTGAGCTCTGTGAACAGCCAGCCTCTTTAGCGATGACCTTTTGTGTCTTGCCCTCCTTGTGCAAGGTGTCGATGGTCGTCTTTTGGACAACTGTCAAGTCAGCAGTCTTCCCCATGATTGTGTAGCCTATAGAACTAGACTGAAAGACCATTTAAAGGCTTTTGCATGTGGTTTGAGTTAATTAGCTGATTAGAGTGTGGCACCAGGGGCCATCAATTTTGAACCTTTTCACAATATTCTAATTTTCTGATATGATGAATTTGAGATTTTCATTTGTTGTCATTTGTAATCATCAAAATTAAACAAAATAAACATCTGAAATATATGAGTTTGTATGTAATGTATGAATATAATATACAAGTTTCACTTTTTAAATGGAATTACTGAAATCAATCTACTTTTTCATGATATTCTAATTTTATGACCAGCACCTGTATATGACAAATATTACCTGTGATATGAAAAATATTCATGTTTGTGCATAAAATGCAGTTATTTTGTTTTTACAATCCTTGTTTCCTGGGAGAATTTAAATAGTTCATATCCAGCTGTGAAGAAACTGTTCCTGTGCCACAATATGTACATCCAGATTTATCACAGCAAGCCTCAAACAGTCAGATAGAGAGGGATCTGTGTGCAACTGCATGAGTTTAGAGATATTATGTTATCTGAGCATCTTATCCTTTTATCAAAAAAGGAACACATCCAGGACAGGCCTTAGCTTGTCTTTGTGAAAAGCTTTTTATTGTTATTCTGAGAGATCAGACTCAAACTTGGCCCTTTTCATCACACTAGACAAACATTTTAGTTTCTTATACTTGTGTGGAGACTGAGCTTAGACTGGTGGGGTTTTTTAGGTGCGCTGATACTTTGTAGTGATATATCTTTACAAACCATCTGCCTTGTTTTCATGCTGCAGCAAAGCAGTCAGGTGAATAAGAGTTCACAGCACATCCTAGCCATGCCCAGTTCAACCCTAATCCCTCTAATGAACTGAATAATGCAGCCTATAAAGGGGAGCTAATTTTACATTTCTGGGAATTTTAAGGGCATGAATCGGAAAAGGAAAAAGTTACCTTTTAAAGCTGTGTAATGGACCTTAAAAGGTATAGTGGAGGATTTTCGGGAATTTAAAAACAAAAATAAAATAAATGCACATGCACAACCCTGTACCCGCTGTCGAGAGAGAACGCCTATTAAATGCATGTGATAGCATGCATGAGCCCATTTCTCCTCTAGGAGGTGCGGGGATGTAATAAGCCGGTCGCTCCGGTGGATCTCATCTCACCCATATTTATATATAAGACGTTTCCTGCAAATAATACTACTGGAACATTCAAAAATATCATGACAAGCTTGTATGTGTATCTGGGTGCTGCAATGGAAATTTGGACATCTTTGCGCGCTAAATGAGGATCTGTGGCCACCGTTTAACTACTAACGATCCAAATTACAAAAAACTTTACTTCCCTGAAATGTTACAGTGTAGAGGTAGATAACTTTTACTAGCAGTGTGAAATGGATTTCTCCAAATAGCATGCCAAACTTTACCCGTCGAGTAGAAGCTTTGCAGCCGAGGTAACAGTGGGGAGCCCGACCTGTGCCCTGAAAGCACAGGTCGGGCTCCCCACTGTCACCTCGGAGGACCACTTATTTAGATGAAGCACCTGGAAAAAAACATCCTCCACTATACCTTTAAAGGTACACTATGCAACCGGTGTTGATTTTCCAGTGAGGCTCCCTCCAGAGGGCGAAAGTAAAAGTGCACTGTCGTAAATATGCTCAGCTGTTCTCCTGGTTTCTCCGTCAAGCCAAGCGCGGTTGTTTTGAGCTTAGCAGTGAATGACTAATGCTGCGTTCACACTGGACGTAGCTGGCGCGACAGAAGCAGCGAGTTTACATGCAAAGTCAATGGTTGACGCGCGTCAAGGCGCAACAAAAGGTCCCGCTGCGCGTTTTGAGCACCAGGCGCAGCACGTCTGAGCAGCTGAAGCAGCGCATCGGGCGCGTTTAACGCAGGGAGAGAGACACAGCGCTGATGATCACTCCTCTTAAACAGTTTATTGACGCCTAAATTAACTTAAAATGCAGAAATCTGCCGGCAGAATATGCAGTTTGGATTATTTAGATGAAAAACACCTACCAGCTGCCGCGGTGAACCGCTGCTGATGAAGGGATCCATACTGTCGGCGCCCCGCTGGTATGTGGGGGTCTGAGCGGCTCCGACAGAAAAAATATTGAAGGCAGGATAATAATCTGAATGAACTGACGGCACTGATTACGTTTTCAGGTGTATTTTCTCACTTAAACACATATTAAAACTACTTTATTCCCATTGATCACAGCAAATATAGCTGCAAGGCAGAGAAAGGATAGTGAAGCTCCGCCCAACGCGCGTCAGACACACTTTTGCACCGCGCAGCCAGAGCAGCAAAGCTGCTTCAGCCACGCGTCAGAACTAAACTGGTACAAGCAGTAAAAATGAAGCAGCAGACGCGATTTTGCTGCTTTTGCTGCGTGAACGTAGCATAACTGCACAAGGATCGCCACTGTGCTAGCAACGAGAATGCTTTTAACTGGGGGGTGTAGCAGTTCTCGCCGTAAAGCAAGACTGACTCTCACGAGACTTCTGAGCCTGTGGGTGCGGGTCGGTGCTCCTGCAGTTGCAAGTGCAGTATTTCCCCCACAGACCACCAGGGCGGCCGAGAATACCTTTGTTCAACCTGAAATTACTCATTTAGTCATCCATAACGTTATGGAACACATTAATTAACTGAAAAATGTTGCATAGTGTCCCTTTAAATAAATGGAAAAAATCCACTGTTGTGCTTTTTCAGTTTGGAACTGATGAAAAGCTCTGCATGACATGGTCCAATTTTAACTTCAGCTATATTCTCTCAACCATTAGAGAACTAGAGAAACAACTGAGATTATTTTCTTTTATGCTCATACAAGCATCAGCTGTTTTTGGTGGCATTATCTGAATTATTTTTTCTGATTGATCTTATTTTTTTTTTAGAACTGAAATACTGGAGTGTCTCGGCGACTTGGACTTCCTGGCTAAGCTGCACTGTGTTCGGCAAGCATGTGAGGTACGCTCTAACTTCATCTCAGATGCCATACTGGAATCTGCTGCAGTTTAATCTGTATGTCTTGAAAAGATTGTCCATTGTATATATATTTTTTTTTCTTTAGCTCATCTTGAGCGACAGGTCGACTAGAACATTCCTCGCTGACACTGGGAAGAAAATCCTGTCTTCAATAATAGTCAAAGCTCAGAAAGTAAGGTCTAAAACATGGCTCATGTCTGGAGTTCACTTTAATGCTGGTGAAGTTCTCCTCTTATGGGCGACTTTCTCTTTTTTTTTTTAGAGTCCAAAAAGATTTGAAGAAGTGTTTGAGGAGTTGATTTTCTTTCTGGAGCAAACGGATCATTGGGAAGACACAGAGTTGGAACTCGCTTCTAGAGGGGTGTGTTGGAAAACTATTTTTGATATTAATCACTCCTAACAGCATTAAAAAAAGCTGGGATTCTCATCTTTCTATTTCAGTTTATTATGTTTCACACTCTTTCTCACCAGGTTAGGCATTTAAACTTCTATGACGTTGTTCTGGACTTTATCCTGATGGATTCCTTTGAGGACCTGGAAAATCCTCCCATCTCCATCCAGAACGTGATCAACAACCACTGGCTTAACAGCTCCTTTAAAGAGACGGTGATTTAAAGACTAGTTTTCACAGCCTGCAAAAAAATTCTGTGTCAGGCATTCTGTTAATCGGTTTCATTTTATAGGCAGTGGCATCAAGCTGCTGGTCGGTACTGAAGCAGAAGAGACAGCACTTGAAGGTATGAGTCTTTTCTTTTACGGCAAGACTGAGCCTTTTTTCCTCCCAAATTCATCTGTCTGGACTTTTTTTCTAGGTGTCCAACGGCTTCATCGCCCATTTCTACACGGTGTGTGAACAGATCAGCCCAGTCCTGGCATGGGGCTTCCTGGGCCCAAAGAGCTCTCTGCACGAGTTCTGCTGCTTCTTTAAGGTCAGCTTATAGTTAGTTGTCTTGTCAACAGATTCACTCCTGAGGCCTCAACATAATAGCTTTTATTTATACCGAGATTGAGTCATATGTGGATTCCTCTAAAATACATTGAAGATTTTTGGTTATGTTATAAAATGCCATAAAGTCGAGGGCAGCTATGTTTTTACCATGAAGCTCATCTTTTGTCTGTCCTGCAGGACCAGGTGCTTCACTTCCTGAAGGACGTTTTTGACCTGGATAAAGTGCGTTACTCCTCAGTGGAGACCCTGGCAGAGGACATGCTCCATCTCCTGCACCGGCGTTCTGAGCTGCTGTTGGCCTACCTGGGAGCCGACGCTCTGCGGCCCCTCAGTGGCTGCAGCCCCCTGCAGGTGCAGCTGGTCCCCAGCAATTTGCTGGAGGCACAAGTACAGTAACCTGCCAATTGAATCCACTGACTTCAACCATCGGACCAAAGAAAGTTCCTTTCCAAACCATGAAGTGTAAAACAGACTTGCTGTGTGCTTTGTGGGTCTGCCTTCATCAGTGTCCTCTTTTCTCAGTGCCATAGTAGTGAAATATCACTCAGCAATTTGTACTTTTAGCCTGGGGTGTTGCGCTTTGTAAATGAACTTCTATTTATTGCAGTTGCGAGCCATTAAACACTACAGGGAAAGTATTTGCTCATCTGTCTGAATAGAAAGCCAAAAGAAGCAGGGTTTATTTCAGGTGTTGCATTGATCTGCAAGAGCTTCAAACATGCAGTAGGCGTCATCTTTATGTAATGTGTTCATCTTCCTGAACACTAGCAATGCAATAATAGATTTATATGCTATTTAGCACCATTGTTGCTGTAAACTACTTGAAAAGGGAAAGTTTCCTTCTGACTGAAGAAGCTGACAGTCTGATATAAAACTAGTTGGGCTGTGAGCAGCTTGTGCCGGTCCCTTTTTACTGAGCACAAGAAGCCTTACCATGAAAGCTATTATGTCACTAAATATCAGCTGAAAAACATCTTCCTTCTGGGGAATATGATTGACTGCCATGCAGAGAAAGCTCACGTCAAAGCTTGTGTGTTGGTGTAAATTTTTTTTTCTCCCTCACAAGTCAGAACCACCAACACCTTTGACTTAATACAGTCACTCCAGGATAAAAAGGGAAAACATCAATTTTCAAAGTAATTTGTGATTAGCATCTATTGTAACATGTTTTAGTCAATATTAGCTGTTAAAAAATAGATGGTGAATATTTAAAATACATTGACTGTTGTAATATAATCTAAACACCATCAATATCAATTGTCACAACTTTAGACTGTTGGTATCCAATATTAAAATATTGCCAATAGAGAGAAAGTTGTCTGCTGTACTTGATTCTGGCATGTTCTTTGAGTTGATCATTATCCTCACCAAAACAGTTGGAGAGGATTCAGGTCTGGGGGATAAAGAGCCATAGAAAGCAGCTTTTAACTATTGAAAAACCTTCTGGTTAATTCTAGCAGTAAATTATGGAAGAGCATAAGGGCCACTAGGGGGAATAAAAAAAAAGTCAGAATTCTGACTTTCTCACAATTCTGACTTTGATCCCAGAATTTAGGATCTTGATGTAGATGGGCACCATCAAAGAACAGATGTGGGGGCACTCAGCTTCACTGTCAAAGATGTGAGTCGTTAGGGAGGGCCAGTAACACATTGGTGGAAATTGACGCAATTACGCAACTTTTTACGTGCCAAGGGATCCCTGGTGATGCCATTTCACTAATGGAAGAGCAGAAGGTGATTAAAACAAGAGAGCTAGTTTAGTCTTTAAAACAGACATGGCTACAGCGTGATGCTAACATGTTTGTTAGCTGTTAGAATTCTGACTTTTTTTCCTCACACTGAAATGAAATTAAATCAGTTAACCTTATTTTTTCCAATGATTAGTATTTTGCTCTCCAGCAGGGGGCACCAGATCATTACAAAAATATACTAGAATATCAGAAGTAAATGCTTTAGTTTAATTAGGGGCCCACAGTATCACACCTCCACTACTGTATGTTACAGTGGACCTGAGCTTTCTTTCCGTAGATTCCTCTGTTCTCTACCAAAGTTATATCAGGCTTCTGTTGGTGCTGGCAGAAGAGGAGAGGCTGTCTTCCACTTAAGCTTTGGATTTTCATCTTTCTTTTATTTTGTGTTAAATACAGGTCACCATCTGACCTGGTTAGGTATTTATAAAAATTGTGTGCACTAGGAAAACTTTGTTTATTCGTTTAAAGTTCCTAAGTGAAAGATATCCAAGATGCTTTAGTCGCATTATACAAAACAGTTGGCAAAAATGATCCCATCCTTCTGAGTCCTACAGGAACAACAATTTCACTGAATCACTGTCCTGAAAATTATTCAGAAAAATTGAAGATTTTTAATTTACAAATTTAACCGATGATCTGGTGGTGGGATAAAAACTAGATGTAGTTGCAACATAGTATTACGATTCTTGATCATTAGATCAGTAGCTTTGCAGGACTTGGGGCTCACATTAATTTCTACATTAACTTAAAAAAAATAAAGTTTGTATACAAGTTAAAACATGTTTATTTTAAGGTTAGACCTGTGGCATATATTCACTTCAAAAGGGGAAAAAAAGTGACTGTAAATGAAGCAAATAAAAAGAAAAAAAAAATACTGTGTCCTTTTATTTTAACAACTCTCCCTGGTTCACATTATGAAAAATTAGACTGAGACATCCCATTTAGAACAACTTTATTAGTGAACATGGCAACATTTCAATTAAAGGTAATTCAAAGACAACCCAGTAGATGTAATATACACAGCACATGAAACCTGTTTTACCTCTAAGGCATGCTCCTTGTTTTGTCCTCTACACCCCCTCGGATTGTGTTGAAACACTGAGCATCTCATTCTAAAACAATCAGAAACCTTTTTCACTACAGAGAAAAGTGATTTTCAACCTGATAACCTCCAACTTTCTGTCTACACACTGTATGGGTCAAAGTTTCAGTTCCTGCTCTCATCCAACTTTCTAAAGTTTTAAAAAGGTACATTTGTAAATAAAGGCATTAAACCATGAGACAGCTCTAAACACACTACAGCATTATGAATGAAAAGGAGTCGACCAGGCTGATAAAATGAATTAATCTGAGCAATTTGCAGTCAGAATTTAAATTTCATTGCGTTTGCTGCTTTACCTTATGACTGGAGCTCTTGAACGGTCTACGTTCAGCAGCGGGATAGACTCAAAGGATTCCTCCTTTTGGGGTAGGGGGGGAAGACAAACTACGACACGGCCTGATTTTACGACCTAAGCCTGCAGCATCCTCCAACACTGTGAGCAAGAAGTGAAGGCAGCAACGTTTCAATAGAAGGTTTGCACTGCACTTAAGGGCAGATTTACACCACGACAGAATAAAAAAATTAATTGGTCAAAGATAAATAAAATGCATTTCACCGATTATTCCAGCTAACATTTGAGCACATTGCTAACTTCTGGCAACAGCGTGGCATGCATTTCATTAAACCAGTGTCAACCTAAAGTATTAAACTTACCAGACAGAAAGGCCTTTTAAAAAAAAAAATATTGAGCACATGACAAACATTTACGCAACTTTTAGTTTTGGAAGGCAACCATCAAACAACTGATACAACTCATGCAGTTCATGAATCAAAGGAAATAGTAAAAAGGACTGCTGAAGTGTAAACTAGTTGGCACAATTCTTTATAACTGAGCATAAATGCATTGAGGCATATTAACACCACAGGTAAGCATTTCTTTGCATCAATACAAGTCATTTTTTAAAGGACAAAAATACACTTGTTCCCTTAGGTTTCGCTTACCTGTGTTAATGCAGCAGAACCTAAGGTGCAAGGTCTGGAATGACACTGCAAAGATCAGATATATTGCACTGTTTGCCATCAGTGAACAATGCAGTCAAATATTGTTCCGACTTATTCAACAGCCTCTGTAGTCAGCAACGACGTCCACAACTAGCATTCGACATGCTTTAAATGGGACATGTTTGACAGGAAATCAGAGGAATCCTAGGCATGCTACGCTGAAGATCTGGACTAATTTCTATACTACAAGTGGTGCTTAACAATGCTTAATATTTCTTTTTCAATAAACAGGTTAAAGAACGCAGTTTCCACCATTGAATCCCCATCATGTCATAAAATCCATCATTAAACATCCTGAAATCATACTTTCAAGAGTACAAATCTAGGCGTCATACAGTCAATCTCAGAAACGTGTGGTACAAGAATCAAACTTAACTTTTTTTTTTGCCTCTTTTTCAAACATTTCATACTTACCCACAAAAAAAGGAGGGAAAGGGTGTAATTTCTCACATGAGTCTACATGTTTAGCAGTTTAAAAAGCATTTAAAAAAGAGTGCATATCTAAGTTGGGTACTTACATTACAGCAGGGCTCAACTGATGGATGAAGAAGCTGCTTAGCCAACCCCGACCCTACAACATCTACGCTTTATATCGGATAAACACTAAGAATCGGCAAAGTAAATAAAGATCCGCAATGTTTGCAGTGATTAAAAAAACTCTTTAAAGGGATATAAAAATATACAGAACCGGGATTGGGCAAGACAAAATTCTATATTTTGTTTCATACAGTGGCAATTTACCCGACTGTCCTGGAAAAAGAACAGCACAAAAATAATAGCACTAAAAATATATGTATATAACATTTTCTTGAGACCACATTTTCTGAGGGACATGTTCAGATTACCTGCTTACCATAATTTGTTTTCTAAACTCGCCTGTGGAAGAGGAAGTGGCTTTCAAGGCAAAACAACAGGTAAAAACAACTATCGCAACAGTGTCTGGGTACCAGGCAAAAAGCACAACAGCAACGCGATAAATGGAGACACCGTGCACGGATACCTGTCAATTCAAGTGCATCTACATCTACAAAGAGCAAGATCATTCAGCATCACTGTATGCACGTTTCTCTGAGCCTTATAGACAGTTGGAGAGAGACAGGACAGCACAACTTCATAGTCGATTTTTATAGGACAAACCCACACATTGCCTATGTTTAAAGCTCCTCAAACGGGTAAAGCATACAACAATACATCAAGAATTTCATCTAAACCGTTTTTTGTTTGTGGACCACCCCAACTTACCAACACAGGAGGTTTCAGTTTGTTTTATTGCAAAAACACAACAGGCAATAGAATTTTTAAAACTGAGATGATTTACATGTTAATGTCTACAGTTTAATAAACATGAGTTCTAACCACATTTAATGTAGATACAGGGCTGGAATGACCATATGTATAATTACCTTTACTAAAAACATAGCATTTACAAGAAAGAAAAAAAAAAGGAGAAAAAAACAAACAAAAAAAAATCAAGAGGACGTGTTCGCCGGGTAATCTGCCATCTATGTGAAACACTTTCAAACCAAGGAAATTTAAGATCTTCATCAAGGCGTCAGCATCCAAACATTTAACAAAGGATTTTGTTTCGACAATGTAGCATTTACTTTATGTCCACTTCACATTACTGGCCCTGTGCAGAGGAAATACATAAAAGATACATTGCATGTTAACAGCAGAAACAGTGGACTCAGCTTCCCAAAAAAAAAAAGCTTAAAAAGCCTGTTGAGGGAGGAAAAGCTGTGGTTAGGTGTTTGATGCTGCTGCGTTTCACTGGAACCCTATAAAAACCTGACGGAGGATGGAAGATTAGGGCGCATATGAATGTAACAGACACGTTCTTATAAACCATGTACCTGAGGGGCTTGTGGTGCCGCACCCATCGCCTGAGGGTTGCCTGTGCCGTAGTAGGCAGCCTGCTGGCGGTAGTACTCCGCCCAGGCGGCGCTGTAGTCTGGCTGGCCACCAGGCTGAGCCGCCGCTGGTGCGGCTGCTGGTGCTGCCTGAGGAGCAGCTTGACCTGAAAGGACAAGTACAAGTCTGAGTAAAGCCAGCATGAAAAGGGAAAAGAAAATAACCCTTGCCCCCATTATAATGAAATACTCTCCAAACATATTTTCAAAAATGAAGGAATTTCTTCTGGTAATTAAAAGCAGTGTGCAGATTTTCAGAAACAACCAGAGAGCGATCTAGTTTAAAGAAACAAACTATAAGAAGGGGAACGAACCCACCCCCAACATCTCTGGGTTGCGGGTCAGAAACCTTCTGCTTTTCTTTTGGGTGGTTGAGCGGGCAGCGTCTCCATCATAGAGAGCTGCCAGAAGAGCCAACCACCCTGAAACAATCATCTTTATGTTTTTAGGTCATATTCTGATACACATTTAGATTTTTTTTTCTTTAAAAAGGCAAATAAAACTGTAAACAGGTTTGAAAATATATCTAATTATTCTTAGAACAGAAACTAAAAAGCCCTCAAATTGTAGCCTTTAGAGTACCAACCTTGCTTCTTGTAATACTCCTCCCAGGCTTTTGTGTAGTCCTGAGGTGGTTGACTCTGTTGACCTGTGAAACAAGCAAACGAGAAGTGTTTTAAAGCAGACGTGCATGAACAATAAAGAAAAAAGGAAAAACAATCAAATTAATCCTACATGTCCAATCACAATTCAAACATTCATTAATTCAGTAAGGGGGGAAAAAAATGACACGATGGAAATCTCTGGCATCAGCTCTGATAAAGACTTCAATAAGAATCACTGAGATGGACTGTGTGTCAACAGCTCAGTCCTGCAGATAATTGAAAATCTCGCAGTCTAAACAGCACAGGCATCAAACCAAGTTGAAGCGTACTGAAAAACAGGCCCACAAAATACCCAGACCTGAAAAAGAAGCAGATCTAAAGCCCTGTAGCTGTTTAGACTGACTGGTGTTAATAGGTGTACACTGAAACTACAATCATATACCCATTTTCTTGTAATATTCCTCCCAGGCCTTGGTGTAATCTGTCTGTCCACTCTGACCTGCAGCCTGTGGGTCACCTGTTAAAAAGAACGGTACTTGTAATTAGTGAATCTTTCTCAGCGGCCTCTCCACCTGCTGCCTGTCAGCCTAGAGGTGGTGGAGGAAAACTACTCTGTTGCTTTCGGGGGAGAGAGGTTATTTCAAAGTGAAGCCAATCCAGCCTGCGGTTTGTTAAACACGCCAGAACTCAGAAGATCTAGGGGACTAAACTGCCCTAAACGTCTGAACTGACTAGCTCTAGAAGCAGGTGCGTGTTGTGAGAACGCTCCTCTCACCTTGACCGTTGGGTTGAGCTGTGCCTGGAGCTCCACTGGATGGAGTCATGGAGGCCTGTGGTTGCTGGCCGTATTGAGCATAGTAAGCCGCCCATGCTGCTGCATTGGCATCGGCTGCTGCTTTATCTGTACAAAAAAAGTTTTCATACGGGGTCATGTTCATCTCTTTGTGAACAAAATCAACCTGGAAAAGCACAACAGATTTTATAGCATGTAAAGAGGAAGTGACTTACTTGGATCAGGCTGTCCCTGCTGCCAGTGGGAGTAACCGTTACCCCATCCTTGAGGCTGATAAGGAGCAGGGGGTCCACTGATGACAGAAAAATAAAATAAAAATTACCGATTAAAATAAAAATGTTAAATCAAGTGTTGTAAGAGGAACCCGACTCTATACTCACTGTGGTCCCGGGGGCCCTTGGTTGTAAGGTCCAGGATTGTACGGTCCCATTGGAGCGCCAGGGGGTCCT